TATATTTGTAAAGCTCATTCATTTTCTGCTTTGTCTTCAGCTGGTATCCACTAAAAAGACTCACATATTCCTAATTGATGCTGCTGGGTAATTATTCACTAATTGACCTGTTATCTAATTAAGTGTTTATTTGTGTGTAACGATTCTAACTAACTCCTTGATGAGGCCATGTTGACCAAATAAAGCCACCAATCAGCTCTTTCAAACCAGGCAGTCTACTCATTAAATCCCACTCATCAAGAAATTATTCAGAATGACCACATGAGGAGAAGACAGTGTTTATTAGGTTGCCAAGCATGTTGAAGACAAAACAACACAGTGGTAAGTGTTGCAACAATTTTCTTTTCACCGTGAATTCGACCAGCTTGACCCTCTCTTATTTGTAGCTGCTGTGATCCAGCAAATTCTCCTGCTCTGGAGAAGCAGGCATAATCAGCATAAAGAGTGAAATTGAGAAAAAGTACCGCTCATTTAAATATTAATAATTCAAAGAGTAATCATGTCTGCTTGTTTCCTAACTTTCCGATAGCTGATCAAAGAACACAAAAAGAGGAAATCCACATGCTGAAATCTGAAACGTACTGCTGTGCTTCTAACTATCATACACCCCGCGTGTACGACGGCGTTCCCCTTTCCTTTACCTGTGGTTCCCCCTGAGTGGCAGAACATGTGTGAGCACTGACACTGAACATGTTATCCCTCAGACAACAGCACCCCAGGAGTCCAACAACAGCGACAACAATGACAACAGACACCCCTGCCTACACTGTTGTGAAGTTTCAATTACTGATAGACTTGCTGGCTGGCTACTGCTCGTCAGCCTGACAGGGAAGGGAGTGACTGGTGTTGGAAAGGCCTGAAGGACAAGCACTCCCACCAGGGTGGTAGGAACCATATAGGGGCCCTGGCTACACTTGACACCCCTGAAATGCATATCAAAACATAAGCTGATGCATCAATGACAAGTATAGATGCCTAAAAGTGTTTGCTGTTGGAAAAGATGTGAAAAACACTTTGCTCCGACATATTTCTGACTTAATCTAGAGGTTAGGAAGTTGACAGTGTGGTCATGACTCTACAGAACACTGCTAAAATTTGTCATACCAGAGTATATGAAAAGACAGTGAGTACAAGTGACATTCAACTCAAGTAAACAAGTGCATGAAGAGAAAAGAGAATATCCTATACCATATCCTATAGAGGAATCATATTCCTCTATATCATCGCTAGTTTGACCAAATCTGATCAAGAAATGCACATAATTTATGACAAATTGCTCTTAATAGCTTCATAAAATATGCTGAAATCAAAGATGGTTTCGTTTTAACTTTCAATAAAATTCAGCATTAATATGGCAAGAGACTGGAAACAGGACAAAATAAAAAAAAAAACAGGATCTATAAGCCGAGTCTAAATCAATAAAATCTAAACGCTACCCAACTCTAGTCTAACCCCATGTCTCGGGGCAATTCTCCAGAATGGGTGTCACTGTAATTGGTGCAGCTATGGTTGCGGAGGTTACGGCCATTATAGGTGAGCATGGGGAGGCATAACCGCTCATAGCATTGCTCTCATTGTGTGTGAAGTAGAGGAGGGAATGTATGTGGGTCCTGCTGCTCAGCGTGACCTGTATCTTTATAAGGGGGACAAATCAATACTGCGCTGGACAAAGAACACAAGAACTACAGCTGCCATGCACAAATGTTTTTTCAGTGAAATGAACATGAGAGCAGGGTTCAGGTCAATTCCCATTCAATTTAAACAATTTCAAGTGCAATAAAAATCACTGAGGCAATAACAACATCTAAATTCTGAGTCAATATTTCTTTTCTGCAAGAGTTTGCTATACTAGAAAAAAAAACATTGCAGTTTTGAACAGCTACAGTTCCTCCTTTCTCTGTCCTTCTTACAGGAGAGCAGTGATTTTATCATTTTACATAGATCATCTTATAGTTCATGTTTCAATATGCCTTTTCATATTGCTCACATTTCAAAAAGAGACAAAACATATTGTTCCTGGGTCAAGTCAGGTTATTGCATAGCATCTCTGTCTCTTTCCCGATGTTTTCTGCTTCATTATTCTTCCTATATTAAACCAACTTTAAAAAAAAAACAAAAAAAAAAAAACAGTCCTCGACACATAGATTGATCGCTGACAGATGCAATGTTTACCCATGTAGTAGACGCTCTCCAAACTTCTTCACTTTCCTCAATACGGGAAAAAAAAACAATGTAATTTCTCTTGACACCAAAACTGCCAGAGGGCTGAGATAAATCCAGCCGTTTTCAAAACACTCTCTCTTGTTTCAGTAATTTAAACAAAAAAAACAAAAAAAAACCCAAGTAATGTTCTGGGAACATAGCAGAGCAATGTGTATCACTCACTCAAAAAGTTTTTCTGATTCAACCAGAACATATATTTTTAGCTATCGAACTAACTTGGGTTAAACAGAGGAAGACGTCCAATGTTATACATTTAAAACAATAGTTCTAATTGTTGCTATGAGGGTGCAGAACTAAAGCATAATTAAAACCCTTTTTTTTTGTGAAGTGAGATTTTAGCCAGTTAACTAAATATTGTATAAAAGTTTGAACAAAGAGAGTACAATACAAATGCATGACTTAATGTAATGACCCGATTGTTCAAGGACATAACAGTACAGCATAAACGATAATACATTAGGTGTTAACAGGTTCACTGGGAAAAAGGGCCGGACAAATCACCTCTGAAAGCTTCATCAGCCTCCAGATTATGTGCTTAGTACGGCAAACCACAACCTCTCCCCGGAGCTCTTTCTCGATCAACTTATTGACTCTGTCCAACAATCAGACCCAATTTTACCTTCAAATTACTGATCCTTATGTGCTTTAACACCAGTGTTCATTTAATTTACTGGGTAACCTATGGCAAAACAGGTTTGTTATTTGATTAGAAGGGTTGGTAAAAGAATGTCTAAACATTCAAATGCACATATTTCAAGTTGAATTTCTTAGGAGTTGTTTTTTTTTGCGTTTTTCTTTCTCTTTTTGAGTTAAAAGAAATAAAGTCTCACGCTAAGACGCAGAAGGGAAGAAAGACAGACTGTCAGGAGACAGGACACTCACACACACACACACACACACACAAAAACCCCCTTAAAAACACGTTTTATGTTTCATCAAAGTTGAGTTCACTCTGGGTAGCGGACAATCCCGGAGTTTGACAAACACAGAGTGAAATGACAATGGGCGGGAGACGTCTTGGGCGAGAGGCTGCCTTTTAAAACGGAAAAGTCCATTTACAGTTGAAAAGAACAGTGGCTGTGTGGAAGCGTCTGACTTGACAATTACATGAGTGGTAAGAACGGCACTGCGCCTCCGCTGATAACCCGTCGGATTCTATTAAAACTCCAGCACTCCAAAAGAATGCTCAAACAGAAGGAATTATCACACAGGCGCACGCACACACGCACGCACACACACACACACACACACACACACACACACACACACATACACAATTTTAAAAGAGTAAAACCCTCTGACAGTGATTCTTCTGCAGCAATATGCGTGCTTTGAGCAAGTAGAGACAAAGTGAAGGGAGAATAGACACAATCAACTGAAGGACTGTATATATGATTGTGTGTGTGTATGCTCAGTCTTGAACTGAAAGCATAGCCACTGCAGCGCTTGCTAACCGTAGTTTCAAAGGTTGCCAATGTCCCTAGGTTAGCCCTTGGGCTACAAGGAAAATCTTCATACCTTATAGGAGGAAAAGTTTCGTAAGTAGAGGGAGTTTGTACTTCAGGAGGATGCGGGCAATGACATGCAAACAGAGTCTCCTGTGTGACAGTTCAGTAAGACCCCCCCCCCCCCACTACGCTGCTTCATACATAACAGATACAAAGCAGGTGTTACATTCTTGCCCTTCCTCCCCTCATTTGTCCTGTCCCCCCCTCCCTATGAAAAACAACAGAAATTAAATAACACAAACACTACGACTGAAATGGTTTTCTTCACAGATGCTGAAGGGGGAAAAACACATCACATCATGTGTCTCGCTCCCTCACTATCTCTCTCTCTCTCAGCTTTTTTTTTTTTTTCCTTTCGATTTGATCACCGTTCCAAACGAGGGATCGCTCATACACTTGTCCTGCGGCATGGAATCACGTCAACGTTCCTCTCCCCTTCTCTCTCCCTCTCAACAAAATGATTCATTTTTCTATTACGGCGATGAGCGTGTGAAATGAGCTATATAATCAATAGCATAGGTTTGTAAACAGCAGCCGCACTCCAGGGAAAATGTGTTTTCTTTTTGAAAACAATGCGCTGCCTGTGTGTGTGGTAAGGAACGCTCATCTGACAATGTTTACAAGGGCAATTTACAGGAAATAAAGACACAGGCAGCCCAAAATTAAGGTAGCTTTCATAATACAGCAGGATCAACAGGCAGAGAGGACAAAAATATCGAACTACAAGATGTGGCTACAGTGAAGATAGGTTTACTTACTGTATGTTGATTAATATGAACTGAAACTGTCCTCTGAGTTTCTATTATGTAGATAAGGCTATGATGCAGAAACTGTCTTGAAAATAACCATGAAAAAAAACATTCAATGTGATTTGTGGTTGTGGGCATTTCTGGGGTTGAGTCCTGACCCAGTCAAGATAGTTCTATGAATTACTGCTCACAGCGACGCTCACACACTCACAGCCCTGACATTTGTCACTTTACCAGGCATGACCTGTCGATTACAGCAAATAGAGTTCACTTCTGTGTGTCTGTGTGATAGAACAGGAATGTGTGACCATAAAATGGGACCTGTCTTCATGTAAAAATGGCACTCATCAGTGAGTCTGTGCTTCCAAGGTCATACAGTTAAAATGTTGAGTATCTGTTTGACAGCGTGGCACAGATTTGAACCAACTGAATGTTAAAAGGATATAAAACTGTTTGGCAAGATAAAATGAGATGGGGAAAGTTCACAGCAGCTGCCATACATCTACATACAACTACTTACAAAGATCTGAGCACGCAGCTGCTCATCCTCAGTGGCGATCCTCTCCCTTAAGACTGCCTGCTGAAGGTTCTCCTGGGCCACGGCCCGCTCCACAGAAAGGATCCTGGACACTTCATTCTGGACCTGGGACTGGGCGTCACTGTTAGCCTGCGCTGCTGCCCGGGCCTTCTCCGACTCCAACCTGCGGAGCATTAGCAATAATTCACATGATCAATGCAATTTTTAACCCCTTTCAAAATGTTACATCCTTATGAGAGCACAACAGTGTAGCTTGTAGAGTGTAATAACAGTGCACCTCATGGTGCAGGACCACAGCATACACTACTCTGTATTCTTTCCCCTATAGGTATCTATATAATGCATGACTGGCTACTCAGATTTTCAATGAACAAAGTTAGGCTGTTCACAGCACTGCACACCGAGGTCCTTTTGTGCTCCCTCAGTACATGTTTGTATATATGGTGGACCATAAACTCTCTTTTGCATATTTCTTTACTTCAAACCAAAATCAAGCAACTTTGAAATTAAAAACTGTTGAAAAACCATACATGTATCTATTGCTCATTAATTAAAAATATATATATTCCATAAAATAATCATCTTAAGCACAGATGGCCTAATGGAAATATGATATCAGGTGTCATTCTTAAGAGCAGTAAATGGTTTGTGATAAAACCATCAAAATGGAGTATTTTATTATTTTTCCCACGTTCACAAACCTGCTGCACTGCATGCTGCACTGTTGCAGTGTCTCCCAATAGAATTAAAAGGTCACAAATACAATTATAGTGCTAATGAAGCATAGATAGAGGCCAATATACTTGTATATTGATTTTCAATCCTAATGTCAGATTCATCCATTCACATGTCCCTGCTATTCCACGGCTTGCAAAGAGGGGGCAACATCGAGAAGTCATACAGTCAGTGGTCATACTCAATCGACACTGAAAAAGAAACATTAGAAGGTGAACTCTAACTGTCCCAGATTGAGTTTCCCTGATGTACCGGTCGGTTAACATCTGTCAGAGTTCAAATCAATTCATATTATTTCCAAATAACTTACACTGACGAGTAATTTAACCATCAACATGTAATAGACAACATTACCATTTCCCCAAAACAAGAATCATCAATCCAATGAAGCAGTAATATACACAGAGGCACTACTCTCTCTGCAGACACAAGACCAACATTTGAACCCTGTCACTGGGTTCTCATAGTTGCCTAGCAACGCACTCCCTACTCTGCGACAGTGTGCTTGATTGGAGAAGAGGAGGAACGTCCCTGAAACCCTGAAAGTCTTCCTCTGCTAGGAATCAAACATTAGTAGCAAGGTAAAATAAACACAGAACAGACGGAGTGAGTGCCGGAGTGAATTGTGATCACGAATGAAGATGGCAAGGATCTTAATAAACTCCAGCCTGACAAAAATCCTAAGAGGGTCCTAAAAGGTAAATGTGATGAGGAGGAAGATGTCTGAAAGTGATGGAGTCTAGGACAACAGTTCTATACGAAATTCCTCCACATTCAAAAGGAGCCATCTATGATTCATCATCCTTCAGAGGTCTAACTGATCGATTATTGCCTGATGCCCGTTGCGGAAACATTGTTAAACAACAGCTGTTTTTAAATGCGAGTTTATTAAAATAACACATTTACTTTTATTTCCCTTATTTTTCAAGTTGTGCTTTAAAAAAAAAGGTGTGAAATTTTTGTTTTGATATTCATGAACACTGAAGTTTAATGCATGACTCATTTACAGCCTCATCAGGTTTGTGCACTGCTCATTATGATAATTCAAGTGAATCATCCTGGTTGTCAAGTGTGTGGTAACAGGCATAGATACAGTTTGTGCCTTTTTCACCTCAGAGCTCCCTTTTTCTAGATATCATCCACTGATCTGTCAATGTGAAGAGTTTTCATTTGTTATTGCTTTTCAAAAAATCTCATTCATCTCTTCACTCACCTGTGAATATACCCAAAAATTTAGACAGTGATGAACCATGATGGACAGCCTGGTCTAACTGATCACCACCCCATGCCTTTGGCTTTGAGCTGAGGCCAGGTAGGTCAAATGAAAATATGTCTAATGTCCAAAAGCTGCCATTTGCCCTGCAACACCACTAAATGTCAGAGAGCAGGGGGAGAGCCAGCCGAGAGACGGGGAGACAGAGGGAAAAGACAGAAACGAGAGGGAGGAAAGAGCGAGCGTGAGTAGTGGCGACATGACATGTTTGGCCCTGAGGAAGTGAAGCAAAGAGGGAGTGAGCCAGAGAGTGGGAGAAAGAGATGGAGGGAGACGGAGAGAGACCAGCCATGTCCAGTCTCACAGTCCACTGGGCTGCACACGTCAGCACACTCCATCCATCATTGTGCTCCAACTCACACACTCATACGGGGAGCCTTCTAATGGCCTTTTACATTCACCATTTCCCCACGATCCACGCCTCCCTGCCTGTACTGCTAATGTACCTAAGCTACCTTTACTCAAGAAGCTTTGGCTTTTGCTATTGCTGGTGCTGTAAGAGAGGGGGTGGTTTATAGAGTTTTTAGAGAAGGATTTTTGGGCCAGTAAAAGCAACAAATTCAACCTCTATGACATGAACTTGGACCTTTGTCACCAATGTAGCAAAATATCATAAGAAACGACCACAGCCAACGAGTATCTAACAAAATCTGCAAGAAATAAATGTTTAAGTAGATAAACCAGTTCCGCCACAATAGAATTAAATATAAGATAAAGCTTTGTTACCCAAACGTTGCCTCCACTTATTAAACTATTCAATGTGCAAGTGTTGAAAGTGTGCAGATGTTGTAAGGACAACCTACACTGTCCTCTGCACCTATCAGTAACACTGACACTCAGGAGTGAACCAGAATTGAGCGAGGCAAGGTCAAAGCACGCCGACAAAAAGTGATACCCACTGAGCAAAGTCTTCGTTGGGCATTTGCCAAATTAAGAAAGAGGAAAATAACAAATTACCAAGATAATAAATGAAAGGTGACCAAAAGCTACAACTGGGACAAGTGAGAGGAATGAGGCCAAGAAAACAGACAGTAAAAAGAAGTCTGTCCACTAACTTCCTGACAAGTGCGAACCCAAGCAAAGACTGCTATCACTAGCTGGATGCTATCTGTCTGCTTCACCTCTATTGGTTTCCAGTCATTATTGCCCTGTCCATGGGATATTGGACACATTTTTCATTCGACTGTAGAAGATTGGCACTGGCTAGGAAAAGGCAGCTTCGAGAGAGAGAATGGTTGAGTCAGACAGAGAGAGGGACAGCACCTATGTATGGGGAAAGAAAAGAAAATATCATGTCTTCTGAGGATAAGTGGATGAGGTTTGGCCCGGTACTGGATAGAAAGAGAGGATAATCTTGGCCCAGTAACCTGTGTTTTGATGGCTCAGTGGATTGAGTCTTGAAAACAGAAAGATGGAAAGGCGGAACCAGTGATGTATCATTAATTTGAAGATGAGTGGAGTGCAAGTGGGCTGGACTGTGGACCTTTCCAGAGAAGTAACTCACTATTTTCAGGATATGACCTTGAGCAGAAGTACTTGGGCATACTCCAGTTTTTTTAGGACTATCATATCTGTATGAAAAATAAGTAAGTAATACAGACGGTGCAGCTTAGTAACCCTAAGTGCCAATAGTCTAGACAAGCTGTACATGTGTGTATGAGTGTGTGTCTGTGAATAAACTGTCCAATAACAACCATAAATGTAGTCATGTTAAAAAATTGAATCACTGCAAATATCATTTCCCTTGCACGAATATCAAAATTTAAATTCATGTCTCCTACCTTCTCCCCTTTCACCTCTCCATCAGTTCACCTTCTGTCTCCTTTTTCCGCTCTTCACCCATTAATGCTTCCAGTTGTTGACCTGTTATCCAAACAAGGTGTGTCCCAATACAGTCTGCCTGGCAGGATGGATTGTGACAGACCCGCATGACAGTGCAGGCTCGACCCAAGTGCCTTGAAACAAAGGCATTTAAAGGCCCAATGCAATATTGATGTTAGGAATAATGTCGCTGAATGCTGCGTATGAATATTTTATGGAGCTATGCACTCTCCCTGACACGCTCACACATAAACACCCACAAACACCAAACCTGGTTGTGGTGGCTGTGAAATGCTGGGACAGTTAAAATTAAGCGTATGGGAAACAAAGGACAGTGGGAAGATTAATTTAGAGGAGCCTCCACACTGCAGGAACAACATAAAAGCCATTTTGTACTCTCCCTCTACTTTACCCACAATTAGTGATAACTGCAATGTTCTTGGTGCAACACCCTGCTTCATTAGCAGCAAACTGTCAAAAGTGGATATCATTGTCTCATTCTCCTCTGCTATTGTCTCTTCAAATATCAGACGAGCATAAAGCTCAAACTCCAAACATTTCGCCATTTAATACAGTGAAAGAGCCGAGGTAAACCGCCCACCTCCTTAGCAGTGTGGAATAAGATCAGCGCCTGATGGTTATCATTCTGTGTAGCTACCAGGATGTCTTATGGAGCTTAAACACTGGGATGATATTAGAAATTATCTAAGCTTGTATTGAACTCCCTCCAACTGATTCTATCTGTTTATACAAGACCACCTTGGGTAATACACAAACCACAGAGAGCTGATTTGTGAGGAGATTGGACAGAGTCAATAACCATAAATGTTCGACTACATAGTTCAACAGCAGGTTACAGTACTAAGAAATGTTTTTTTTTTCTTTTCAAAACTGTATTTACTGTTTGAAACTGCCTTATACTCTGGGGATAAGGCAACAATAAGACCAAGTTTATGTATCATTTACCAGGAAAGAACCGTATTCTAAGATATCAAGGAATAAAGTGTTTTGTTGGAAGTAAAATGTTTTAATACAGGTAGTGAAAAAGTAGATGCAAGACACACGTGTAAATACAGTATATCCCCAGAGGGAAAGCAACACACAAAAATGTACAGGTTGTGAAATGTTCTTAATGTTGAAACCTGAGGACTGGACGTCCTGTAATGCTATAACTGCGGTTTGAAAATTTAAAGAAGAAAATTCTATGAGGTCCACTGAGATATTGCTTAATAGCAAGGAGGGTACTGCTAGTTAGTTACGACAGGGGTGCAGCGTGGGTGCCTTGGGTACAGCAATATAATTTCTTGGTGTGAGGAGATGTTAATGTGTCCTTCATTTGCTGCTGGAGGGTTTCTATCATGTTGTGCGTGTTTTATAGGATGTGTGTAGAGTGTTTAGGTTTTTGCACAGTTCCTAGGGTGGTACCAGGTGAGTACAAGGAGGTTCTAGATAGTAGGTAGCTGATATGGTATTCTATATGATTACTATGGTGTTGCTAGCTGGTTGCTAGATTGTTTTGGGTGTGTGGCTGGGCATGGATTGATGGTTGTTGTTGCTAGGGTGGTACTAGATGGGCAGTAGGTGGTTCCTAGAATTCATCAGATGTTTGGTGGGAGATTAGCTGTATACTATGATGTCCTGTATGGTTATTATGGCATTTCTAGGTGATAGCTGATAGGTGATAGGGTCTTTGGGTTTGATTCTGCTAGGTCGCTGATTGAGAGTATGACGTGGCTGCTGCAATGACTTTTGTATCTGTACTGTCTATTTTCTGGTTTTATGCCTGTAAAGCACTTTGTAAACTTGGTTTGGAAAAGTGGTACATAAATAGCAGTTATTACAATTATTATTATGATTATCAATATTAAAACGGTTATGAATATCACTATTAGGATTGATTATATGGTTATTATTATCATTATTACTATTATTATTCCGCGTGTGAGAGTGCATGTAATGTTGCTGGGGTGTATGATGTCTTCACAGTAGTCACAGTTAGAATATTCTGAAGAAAAAGTAAAGGCACATGCAGTAAGAGAATCTGATCAAAGACTAGTAATGCCACCGATTCCTGAACATCTTTTAAAAAGTATCATACCTCCCCAGAGACAATCTTGGCTAAATCAGGTTGGAACTTTTTATTTTCTGATAACATCCTAACTTTCTAGCTCTGTTAAACTGAGTTAGAGGTTGTGTGTGTGTGTGTGTGTGTGTGTGTGTCTGTATTTCTGTGCGAACAAAGATAAATGATGGAAATAAATAACATGTAAAAATGTATAGGCTACGCTATCTGTCTGCGTCTGATCTGTGAGCAATAAAGAATTTAATGGGCTGGCTGGTTAACGCAGGAAGGAAGACAGAAGCTCTGAAGGAAGGTCAGTGTTTTCACTCAAAAGTCTGACATGCAATTATATCACACAAGCCAACACAAGCTGCTTGACTACATGCTGAAATAATGGGCAGAAGTTTCACAACGATGACTAACCTTTAAGTGTACACTGCATGGACACAAACACAGAGATTGAGAGGGAGGTAGGAAGAAGACATGAACAAGAGGGAAGAAAATAGAAAGAAATAGACAAGGGAGATTGAAAGACAGGCAAAAAGAGATGGCTGGAGGAATACAGGAAATATGGAAAAACAGAAGGTAAGGGGATAAGGAAGAAAGGGAAGGAAAGGTGGAGGAAAAATCAGCGAGAATCACACAGAGAAGAAGAACTGGATCAAATGGTGACACAGGACGAGTTAGGCTAAGAGAGGAGAGACCGAATGGTGTAAGAGTCCCCCCCCCCATCCGTCCTTCTCTCTCATCCTTTTCTCTGAGTCGTTCTGCTCTGCTGCCTCACAGAGAAGCGGCAGAGGCAAATCTGCTCCCTGCAGCCGCTCCTTGCTACAAATGAGTATAGGCTGCACCCAAATGAACTCTTCACAGAGCCCTTACTTCACTCCTTCCAGAGCAAAACATGCAAAGCCAGATCTCTGGAGTTCATTTATGGCCCTAAAGCCAAACAGAAGAAATACGGCCTAATCTAAACACCACTGTTCCTCAAAATTCCCTAGATCTATGCGCCCAACACAGCAATACTGCATAGGACAGCATTACAAAGTTGCCCATGTAATCGCCCATGTTCTCACTCATCATTTCCTGTCAGCTCTGTATTTTCTAATAAAGGCATAAATGCGCCAAAGTACTCAAAAATGGAAAAGACTTAAGAGTGATTAGCAACAGGACGTTTTACTGCACTTATTGTGTATTCTGGCAATTACAATAAATGAGCAAGTAAGAACTCAGTGTCTTCCTCGAGGACATGTTAACAACCAACAACCTGCAGGAGGAACTGTTGGGGTTGAACATGACCTTGAGATTTTGGCCTCAAGTAGCTTGTGTGCCCGTGTTCTTTCCTATGACCTGGGAGTTCACATATTCTTCCATTTCTGTGTTCAAGCTGTGCAGCTGTTTCACTGCAGGGTTCTATAAGTAGTGAGGCACTGTGCAGTCTTGTTAGCTGAGCTTTGATACACTCGCAGACAAAAGATATTTTACGTCTCTACTTCAATTTTGCAGCAAAAGCTATTCAGTCTCCAAACAGCGAAGGCCATAATCACTATGCCTTGTTTGCCCTCAACAACCAAAAACTCTCTGTAGTTACCATCTGCACTGTGGGAGTGTGAAATACCACCACAATTTAATTATGTTTTGACAACCCAGATGAGAAAAAAACAAAAACAGAAAAAAAAACAATGTGTTCTTCTTACCTATTAAAATTTTTTTAAAGGCATCAGTCACCTTTATCTCCCAATAAGCACAAATTAATAGAAAAGTTCAACTGTAGTGGAAAAAAAGGAGTGGAAACATAATGGAGTGCTTGCATAAATCAACACACCATTTCATAATCTGATTACATTAGAAAGAATTATGTGCCAGATCAAGCCACATTATATAATGAATTTGATGGCCTAAACCACATTGAAATGTTCAGACTTGAATTGTGATCAGATGTTGGATTAAGTGCGGACAGCAGTCTCTGCACCATCTAAACAAACAGTTAAATTAATCTTTATTAAATCCTCTAAAGTGTTTTCTATCTCAGCATCATTATGTTGTGATTTGTTTTCTGATTTACTAACTCTAGATAAAACCCATCACTGAGCTGCACCTTTTAGGTTCTACTCAATTCCCAGAATGCACCTAGATGGCTGTCCCATGATTACTACCTACCAAACCATTAACTAGGAAAATGGACACACATGCATTAATACACACTCACACAAACACAAAAGAACAGAACAGAACAAAAATAATGCGACAAAATGGGCAAAAGAAAAGAACCAACAAATGAATAGCAAACAACACGTTAAAAACTGATATTAATATGCATCTACACACATACACAATTGTTGGCTAACTGATGATTGCTTATTTATCACTCCATGTTTGGTTCTTAAGTGAAAATGCAGCCCATGCCAAGCACAAACAAAAATTGAGGGCTTGAAAGCCACTATGATTTCTATTAATTGCAAAGGCGGCGTTATTTTGAAGCGCTTACTCCTCTGAAGAAACATCAATAAGTGAATTGCAGGAAGCAGTTACATCAAAAAAATAAAATAGCCAGGAAAAAAAAAAAATCAATAGACAAATGATTTCTCAACACCTCTTGTTAATTTCTCTCATCTTGAATGAGCCTCAAAAACGAGGCTAATTGCTAGGCTAACACTTCCTCCTTTTGAATATAGAAAGGTTGTGTTTTTTCCCCCATACAGTACAAGGGTGCATTTAGTAGCTAATCACAGTCGTTCATTCAGCGGGTTCTGCTGGAGATCATCCAGGTCTATTAAAGAGGGGGAGCAACACAATTATCGGACATTATGGCATGTGCACCTGCTTCTTTAGGGTCGAAAAGAAGTGGAGAGATGAGGAGAGCGCATGAGATGATAGGAAACGGGAGAGAGGAGAGAATTGTATACGCTCCTCACATGAAGAGTGTGTTTCTTCATCAGGCAGGGCTAATGGATCACCCACTCAACACCCAGGAAATTACCTCAGGATAGCGGCCTTCTTCCTCAGGCATGATTAATTGATCCGGAATGAACGAGAGAGGAGGAGAGGAGAAGCAGAAATAGAGGGAGGAAAAAGTGCTGATGTGCTTCGGAAGAGAGGTAGATTGGAAACAGTGGGGATCGGAAAGACTGCTGCTGACCTTTTTGACTATTAATGAAAGCGGAAAACGGTCAAATCTGAAAACATCTTCAGGTTCTAGTGAAATCATGGAACAGGAATTGACACTAGTGTAGTACCCTGATTCAATCTATCATGATCCAAAAGGAGGAAAGTTTGGAAGAGAAGAAAAAGAGAAGAGGGGCGATGAGAAGAAAAGAGGGAACACTAAGGATTCAAACCCCCCCAAAAAATTTGTTTCAAATCCAAAACTTACCTTACTATCTGTGCAAGGTCATAAACAAAAACTGGTATTCCATTCCAGGCTAAAGCAGCGTGTGTGTATCTGGATGTGTACGTGTTTGTGTGCACGCATCTCACCAGGCTTGCAGCTCTTGCTCTGCCTTGGCCCTCTCCTGCTCCATGCCTTTATACAGCTCGTCAGTGATCTTCCTCCTCAAGGCCTCCTCATCAACTGGGGAGAAAAGGAGAAAAAGAAGCATTAGCAGAGAGAAAGAGAGTTAGAGAGGGAGGTTTTAAAGTAAACAGCTATTGTTTGCTGACAGGCATGTTGAGTTTGTTTGGACACTGAATAGAATGATACTGTCTAAAAAGTGAAAAAAGTGAAAAAAGGAAAGGATGTGTGACATTTAGACTATAATGACTGGGGAAGAAACGATGGCATTAAAGCATAACATTGCAACAAATTTAAACACATGAAGAAAAAAAAAATGCCCATATTGCCTTAACACACACACACACACACACACACACACACACACACACACACACACACACACACACACACACACACACACACACAACCCTGCCTACATATATTCATGTCAGGGGCATCATACATGTATGATTCCATGTCTCCACGAGTCTATCTTGGCAGGTAATTAAGCATGAAAGTAAAGATGCCAGCCGGCGACCAGGCCAAAACGTGCTCTGAAGACAGAAGTGCCATGCGGTGTGCTGCGACACTGCAGTGAGTGGGGGAGTGTCTGAGTGTGTCAAGATTACTCTCCCGCTGCATTAGTTAGATGGGATAATCCCTATTGTCAGAGTCTATTATTACCTGGTAATATGTGGTAACAGCAGGCCAGTTGAAAGGCAAATACACACACACACACACACACAAAAAAAAAACCTAAATCCAGCTAAATCAGATTAACAATATAATACCTAAAATGTGAAAAGCCATTCTTTTCTTATAATCTTGGGGCTGTAAAACAAACACAGGTAAAAGGAAAAAAAAAATTAAAAGGGAACTGCATAATGCTCCTGAAATGTTTTTAGCTACAGCGTTTATTCTGTGATTTAAAACGCTGCAGTGCCTAGGGGTTATTACAGTCATGATTTCACATCTGTGCCTCTCTTTAAGTCCAACATATGGTGTTAGTGGTGGCTGATTTCTTAATTATGTTCTTTCAGTATCGCAACTGGAAGCATTAGAACACATACAATTCCCCAACTTGCCTCACTCACTTCAATGTGAAGTTAAATTAATTTTGTGATAACATTCCCTAAGGATTTAAAATTGAGTCTATCTACTTTACTTTCATTGTTTTGTCAAAAAAAAAAGAAAAAGAGTAACAGTCCAGAAGCAGAAGCCCAACTTCCAGATCAATATCATAGTCTAATTAAATGTTTTAAATGTTACTCAGCACAAAGCCAGTCTACCAGTTGTCTTGGAAACCTATTTAAAGCCTTTTGAGATACCTTGTGGACACATTGACAGAATAACAAACTACAAACCTCTCTCAGGGAAAGGTTAAAAAAGAAACAAAACAATTAGAACCACCATTCTTAGCTTCAAATTGATATTTTCTCGAGCAGTGGTGGTAGTATCCTTTTAACACCGCTGACTCAATAAGACTGACTGTCATAGTGGCCTCAACCTCAGTGTCTTTTATGTATTCTGAAGACTGAATAAAGATCCACTTGTAATGTGACTAACTCAATACATAAGATTCAAAATAACTTTTCAAACATTTCACAAACACACAAAAGTTTGAATCTTTAAGAATATAAAGACAAACACAAGCCACTGACACTGTTGAACTAAAGGTCACCAGTTTCCAAGAGCTTGCTACAATTAATCCAAGTGGTGTCATGGATGCATTAAATCTCTGCTCATTAACAAGTATCTCTCCCTCCAGCTTCTGTCATTTGAGTCTTCTTCACCTCCTTCAGCGGCTTTGGCACAACTGCTGTTAATAATTTGCTCTCCTGTGCCATGAAAGTGACATTCCTGCTTGAACACGCAAAACAAAAATACAGTTAACTTAATCCCTTTTTCTGATTTCCACCCTCTGTAGCCTTTTCTTCTCTGCGGCAAACCACACATAACAAGAGCTCGCAGTATGACAACGATTTGCTACACTAAAGAGACTGAAAAAGCATCAGGTAGGGGGAGGTTTTGTCTGACAGGGCTTCAGAAGAAACACTGGCGCAAACACAGTCGGTGATTGACAGTTGACAACTTTTTGCTGCATAGTGTACCCTCAAAGACAGAGACTGCTGTCACCTACTGTCCAGAGAGTGAGAAAATAATATCCATCATGTTTGACAGCACTAAGAAGCACCATTGATCTCACTGCAGAGGAGAGTCTAATTACAACTCTGTTAAGAACTAAAGCAGGAAGACAACCTGTGGGACTAGAGTCCTGAGAAAAGATTCTGCAACAGGGATGTCTGTAAAGTAGCAAGTAACAGCAGTAGCAAACATCAGAAAACTATGAAAACATCAGTTGCTATATGTTGCTATAATGATGTGGAAATTATATGTAGAGAAAAGTGCACTTTAGCTACATGCGCAATAATGGTCTCCCAAGGACAAGCGCTCGGCAATATACTATGTCAGCATAATGCTGACCATGATATCAGAGCTGGTGTGTTGTCTGGAATTATAGTCATTATTAAGTTGTGATATAGTCGACAAAAGTAACAACAAATTTATGAACATTTTACCTTTTACTTGACTACAGTTCCCCTCAGCTTTACATTGTGTTTTAGTTCCGTGAACTTTCATATTTTGGTTCACTGTCAACAGTTTTCAGATGCAGCAGGCAGTTGTTTTTAGTGAAAAAGCTCAGATAACATCACTGTACACTACTCAGTACTAAACTGCACTCAGACATGGGTGCTGAGGTGAGCATAATAGAACATTTATCAGCTAAAAAAAAACCCACATATTTCTCTATTAAGTGAATAGAGACCAACACAAAATATAAGATGATGGTTAATATTGGACTTTAATTCGTCAGGTGGTCGGAAACATAACTCAGTCGTCATGTTGTTCCATGTAACGTTCGATATAACAACTTTATAAGGTGATATTGTATGTCAGTGTTGTGCTTCCAGCTTGTTCCGCTGCCCTTGGCCAAAACATAGTCAATCAGTGCTGTACAGAATGTACAGGCTCATGTCATCTTGCCACAATTAAATTTGAGATTATGACTGAAAAGAGTACTTAAGCTTTGGGCCACTATGAAACTAGCAGCTGTAAAACAGTTCAGAGCCCCGTTGATGGAAAATTCTAAATTACTTACTATTCCCTCCATAGATCTTTAGAGTAGATGAATAACACTGTGTACTGAACACCATACTCAAGTGCCACCTCAGGAGGTCAAGCCCCGTCATTATGAACTTCTTCCATCAGGTAAGAGTGGCATTTCAGCATTATCTGCCCTTTAAAATCTCTCAGGCTTAAAAAATATATACCCTATAGCAGTGCGCTATGAAAAGTAAAAGTTTAAAATTCCTCTAAGTTCAGGCAAGCCTAAGCAACTCCTCATTTATCACCACATCCTCTCCAGCCCTGCAGAGAGAGAATTCAGAAAGCTAGCAGGCCCACAGGGTCAGCCAGAGAACAGGTTCTGATATGATAAACACTGTCTGGGGTCCTTGAGGGAGGCTGGTTAGGGTCAGAGACAATTCCAGATCGACAGAGCCTGTGTCAATCCTGAGTAGGACATGTAAATGTTAAAAAGATTAAAAACTCATCATCTTTTTAGACGTGTCCCCCTCCTTTCCTTTCGCACCAATCACTAAACCCTGTGGAAAAACCCGTAGAGGAGGAGGAGAGGCGGTGGAGCACAGGCTATTGGCAGTGGAGATAATAGACGAAGGCAAATTGCGTTTCTCATCAGAAGTTTCATTAACCCCAGGACCCGCGTGGAGGGCATAATCTGTAACATTACCACTTCCTCACGTTTCTAGCTTGCGCTTAGTCGAGTCACCGCACACCTTTCACTATGTTCAAATATGAAAGAAAAAAAAAGAAAAAATTAAAGCGCCAAGAGCAAGATTCCAGCCCTGGCAGGCAGGTGCCATTTCTGATTTTCTTTTATTCACAGTCTTTCCTGTTAATTTAATCTCATGTTATGGAATAGAACTAGACTGATCATTTCACATTTTCACAAGATAACAAGAAAAGTCTGTTTCAAAAGCAGAGTGATATATTTCACAAGTTTCACACTCACATTTATGCGCACACACACCAAGTCACCCACATTTCTCCCAATGTGTTTCTTTGTCTCTCCCATTTTCCCATTCTTCATGCTGCATCTGGGAGACATCTTTAAGCAGACTATTAGTCCAGCACAGTGTGTGGGCTCTGGCATATGAATATTTATAGCACACTGGAGAAGGTGTAGGAGGTTCAACCTTGACTATGGCGTAATCAGCACACATACTGACTCTGGCCATGATTTAGAGACAGCCGACCTGCTGAGAGCCTCACTCGATACCCAACTCTTGCGGACACACATAATCAATGTCGGCCTCATTAAGGTCGTAGCCTTTCAGGATTGGGCTGAACTTTGCAACTTTTTAACGAGATTCACATTCACATTCATCCTACCTTTTTTTTTTTTTTTGTTCTTTAAAAAGAGCATGTTTGATCAATCGTCCAAGTTGACTTTTTTCCTCTGCGTTATAGTACTTGGTGAGCTTGGTACATATTAAGCTGTGAGGTGACCTTGCAAGGAAGGTATATTCAAAATACCTCAGTAAATGTCAACACACATTAGTGTTGTGAGATAAATATATGGGCCCATGCTTGGCAAGCAAGAGTCAGCCACATAGTTGCAGTTAAATGGAAACTATAGTGATAAAACAAAATGAACCGTGTGGTGGTGATTGTGTAGCAACATTAAAAATACACCCAATACAAACACATACTCCCTATCCTGAACACTTCAGATATACTGTACTGTGCACACAAGATGGACAGTAGAGCTGGTCCTGAGAGACCTTTGCCCCCTCTCAAACTTTCCATCAGTGTTTCAAGACTGAATGAGTGAAGAAAAGAAATGGAAAGACACAGCAGCAATGACAACTACATATCCCCCGACAGAGAAGTGAGGACTTGCATCCATAACTGACCACTCAAAGAGGAAACAGATCAGTGGATTAGTTGTGTTGTGCCCTGTCAGCGGCAGGCACTTTTTCATAATAGCCACACAACACGGCTTTAACGAAATTAAGTGAGATAGTGCTGTATTTATCTTTTCATCTGAAAACCAATTAGCTCAAACAATGGAGGAATAATTTGGTTCAACATGGAGAAAAAAGAAACTGTGCTTACAGTTGCCCCAGTGCTACGAGTTACAAAAATTTGTTGAATGAACATGAATGAAACTCCTATTAATCGATCAATTGTACTAATGTGCTCAAACAAAAAGGCAAGTGACACACACAAAATTCAGTGTCATATCACAGAAGCCCCATTGCCAAATAAAAATTGAATACACAATACACACACCCACCCGCCACCTTAATGAGGCCTAGTGTTTTGTTGTGTGAAACCGCAGAGGTGTCGTTTTAATCACTGGAGTCAGTGTGGCGTGGCATAAGTTGGCCTTTTTTTAATTACCTTACTGATTGAGCACAGTCAAGGATGGGGAAGCCTGCCCACATCCTGGATGCCACCTTCTGAAGAACTTGCACCCACGCCCCATTCTGTACCGTGTAATGAACAGGTAACATTCAAATGTCCTCTGCCGGATATGTCAAGAGATAAGGGACGTGCACCCACACTTAAGAGACACTGAGGCTAAAACTTTGCTTTGAGAGATCAAGTGGAAAGGGAGTGAGTTGGTCTGTGTGTTTGAGTCCTTACATACACATTTTTACACTGAAACAATGTTACTCAATTAACCCCGGAATATCAGTGTAGTTTGATGCTGTATTATCTGTAGTGACAGGTTCGATCTTCTTTCTTGTGACAAAAATATACAACTGCACTTGATATGTCATTAAACCTAAAAAAAAAAAAAGAAGAAAAATCTGCATTTCTCAGTAGCAATTAGAGATTCTCGACACTTAACCTTTCATAAAAAAATGTCCTATGTTTCTCTTCCTAAACACTACTTTGTATTTAAACCTGCAATAACTGAACTTTGATAAGTTGGGGACAGTGGAGGCAAGCTAATAACACAATACTGACATTTTATCATCACAAAAAGCTGAGGTGAGTTAGCAAATAATTAACAATTTACGCATCGAGAAGATATGGAGTAACATTAGCATTCATTTGGAACCACAGGTCTGGTTATGTACTGAATGTAAGTCTGATATTCACTCTCCTTTTAAGTCCTGAGGGAAATACCTGACACTTAAGCAGCTAAATGCATCACAAACTCGTTTCACACAGGTGGCACACAACAGGTGATTGTCCTTATCAAGAATAATACTACATTTGGTTTAGGCAAGGGGTGGTGCCTGGTGGAGTGTGCAGGAAGCTGGATAGAAACGTCATCAACGTGCTCACTCACTAGCTGTGAATTCTCCAGACACTGACTAACTCTATTCCAACATCCACTCAATCGGACATCATGCAGACTTTGTGGTAGGGAGCTGGCAGGGTAAAGCCCATTTATCGTCTGGTCCAACTGATTCGGACATTTGCGTTCTCACTTACAGCTCCTCTGGATAATGTCTAGATAAATTCAGGGTTGCAAAGCAGCTTATGTTTACCAGCTAGTTTCAAACTTTGTCTTTCTGCTGTTGGGTGGTGGACAGGTAATGTACAGGTAATGTACAGTGGGTTTTTAAGAGCTTTCTTTGCTGAAAACAGCTGCCTGTTGTAGCTGAAAACACTGCTGAGAGCGAAACAGAACAGTAAAACTGCGGGCCAGAAAACCAAAACAGTGAGCTAAAGGATGCTGTAAAGTTGTGTAAAGCTTTCAGGAACTTCAGAGTTGGGTGATAATTCTCCGTGGGTTCTTCATTATAAGTGATTCCTATCACATACAAGTTGTCATATGACCCATAGCTAAAGTGAAAATACTGATTATAGCTGCTTTACTGAAGGGGAAATGAGAAAATGTTGAGAAAAAGAACAACATACCCACACGCAACAAAAAAAAAAAGACGCAACTACTGAGATCACTTTTTTGAGTGAGGTCACACACCACAGGAAAAAGAGGGGTTATCATGACAACTTGAGCTCCACAGTGAAACTGCAGAATTGAGGGCTACTAATTACAGCATCAATTTATTAACATTATTACAAGAAAGAATTCATCATTTCATTAACAGTTTGGGGTTGGCAATGAATCATCATATGACCAAAGCTACTGTGAGGCCCATTTTTAAAATGAAGACTAATTACAATCTGCACCAAAAGCTCAAGACAAAAAGCTTAAAGTGGCTTAAAGTAAACACCCATACAATCATTTAAAATTTAAATGTAGCTGAACTTAAATCCTTGGTCAGTTGAGTTCATTTCCTCATAACTTTTGCTTCCTAATTAACCATGCCCCATACATTCAGGATCAAATGAAAGATACAGTTCATTTCTTCTGTTTTTTATAAATAAGCATTCATTCCTGTTGCTTGTTGGAAGGAACAAGACACAAGTTTGTCCAGGTGCCTCCAAGGTCAAGAATCACAACTGCAAAAATCCAGTTAACACTAAGTATAGCTTGCTTGGATCTGGTCTATTTCTTAACATTGTTTCGAGCTACCCTTGATCTTCATCAGCATTTGTTCATGAAATATGTTACAAACACAAACTTCCAGCATCCTGGAATAAAACTCACCAGCTGGTGCAGCAGGAGATGGTGGGACTGGACTGGACTCAGGTACTGCCACTGGCTCAGGGACTGAAGCAAGGGATACTGGCTCCAAGGGGGGCTGGGGAGGAGGTGCAACTGGTTCACAAGGAGCAGTAAACTCTGGCAGGGGAGGTGCAGCAAATGGCTCAGCAGGCTGGGGGGACGAAGTGTCCCCTGAGGGATGTAGTGGCAGGATGGTGACAGGCTCCAGAACAGCAGGGGAAGAGAGCGGTTCCGATTTGGGAGGTGGGGGAGCAGCAATGGATTCAATCATGACAGGAAGAGGACATGGCTTGGGTTCAGCTACAGATGCAGGAGCAATGGATTCAATCACATGTGGAGGAGCAATGGGTTCAATTACTGGAGGTGAAGAAGCAACCGATTGATTTAAGGGAGGAGATGGTTCAATTACAAGGGGAGGAGCAAGCGGAGTGATAGATTCGACCACAGCAGGAGGAGGGCAGGGAGCAGGAGCAGAGGGAGGAGGGAGGGGTGTAGGCAAAGTTACCGGCTCGACAGCAGCAGGAAGAGGAGGAGCAGCCACCTCATGCTCAAAAGCTGGGGCAGCAACAGCAGTAGCAGCATTTGGGGGTGATGAAGCCGGGAGCACCATATCAATTATGGTGGGGACTACTACCTGTTCTGTAGGAGGTTGAGGAGGAGGAGGTGGTGGAGGTGCAGCCACAGACTCTGTGGCAGATGGGGCTGGTGGAGGAGGAGCTGGAGATGCAACAGGTTCTACAAGAGGAGAGGAGGGAGGCAAGGAGGTGATCGGGTCAAAGAGGGGAGGCACTGGCCGTAGGAGAGGAGGAGGAGTGAGTGTAGGCGCCATGGAAGGTGGTGGAGAGGGAGCATGTTGGTGTTTGGGAGGAACTGCAGGTTCCCGCATGCGGTTGATGACATTCTCAGAGAGCTGCAAAGGAGAAAGAAAGAAAAGTTTCAGAGGAACATTGAGAATGCTTTACAGAAATAGTGTGACATAATTAAAATATTACAGTATATTTCATCTACAGTTACAGCACATAACTCCCCATAAAACCACAACTTTTCATTTTTGCTTTTCTCTTTGTGAACAGATTAAACAAGGGAGCTACAACATATTGATAAGTGAGCTTTAGAGGTAGTGATTTTTATAACTGTGGACAGAGTCATGGCCTAGCTGTTTCCCCCTGTCTCCAGTACTTTCCGAAGTGATAATCTCTGCTTTTAAGTTGCTGTTCCTATGGAAAACGAGACATTATTCTAACCACGGAAGAAAAAGCTTTGTTTTCAATCCGTTTACATAAACAGCATTGGTATACACAGGATTACACCTCATTGAAAGTTAACATTAGCCTCGCTTGGCTGGCTTACAAACTGAGTAATAATAGACAGAGCCATGCCAACTAAAGTCTTATCTGATCAGCTAAAGCCTGTCAATCTATATTTAACATCAGCTGACAGTGGCAGGAGAGAACCTTTGATAACTCCCACCTCATAACAGAAGCTATTAGAGACTCCATAACCATCCACCTTAACACCATGTACCTGTTTCCACCTTTAAACAAAAACTTCCCAAGGAGAACATTATCTGGAACTAAGAAGGCAACATCCTGTCCAGTTGGAAGTCACTCTCATTCATAAATTGAGTAACAGACAGCAGAACACGTGGCTGGTGACGTCAATGTCAACATTTCCAAAAAGACAATTAAAAGTTTACTGAAAAAAAGAAAAAAAAATTAAAAGTTTACTGTTTCCAAATCTCATAACCACTGCAGTAGCTATTAACTAACCTGTCGTTAAACTGTAAACTCTTTCACTACTTTAGCTTAACCTACTGTGTAGCTTTCAGAATGAATGAGAGTTTACAGACTGGCAAGAGTCTGCTTGCAATGTAGCATAGCTGCTTTTAGACAAGCCATATTTGAGCACTCCTCTTAGCAAACCATTAACGTTACAGCCTGATTCACTCTATCACATCACTGTATCACCTGATTCTGGATTAAGGCAGTCATGTAACAGCTGTTTGCCCGACACAATTTGTATAATGTCACTTACCCGTATGCCCTTCACCACCGTTATATTCTCGTTCTCATCTGATTCAAATGACACGCGGCGGGTACTGTTGTTCGCTCCCATTGTCAGACCGCAGGTTGTCAAAGTGTCAGTTATCTACATGTAAGATGGACGACTTACATCCACGTTTGTTTTTTGACAGTTTAGTTGTGCTAGGGCCAGGTATAGCTGGCTAAGGCCCACACGCCTCTACTTCAGCAAGTCCGTACTTCCCTAGCATGACGTACTTGAAGAACGCGCGAGTGGATTGGACAGAAGGGTTACCGTCTTTACATCGACGATTTTCATTGGTTTTTATTTGTAAGCGATAGACTGGCAGTGTGACAGCACTGTTTGTCTGATTTGTAATGTTTGACATAACTAGTCTTTTATAATAATGCTGTACTAGAAAATTGGCAGAAATTGTCACATTTTGACGACATTGTAATGTCATGACATTAAAGTTAATGTCTGTTTTCCCTAAAATCCTATCTATATTCCGATAAAACATAAACATATACTTTGAATGCGGCATTGGTAAGCTCTGTACACAACGAAATATAATAAAGACTTGAAAAAAAAATATTTTTTTTTCAGAATATGGTAGCATAAAAAATAAAAAAAAACACAATATTTGTCATTAGACTAAGACTATGTATTCCTCAACTGCTTTACATTTTGGTTTTTATACCATGTTTGAATAAAATATTTAAATTACAAATTATTTATTAAAAGCACCTGATCAAATTTTATTAAGCTTTTTGTGTCAGCTTTTAGTAGCCTACTTGGTTTGAGTATTCCCCTGCATGATAAGGAAACATTGTGGTCTGAAAGCACTGAGGTTTGATACCCCATGAATCTGACTGAACGTGGGAATCAGTAGCTTTAAACTACTATAGTTTCTTGGGGGCGGAGACTCGCTTGTTGCCAGGCCAGGCCTAGAAGGGTGCAGGCACAGCTGGGCCAAGGTTATACAAATTCAAGCCAGCACTGCAGTTTAGCTTCAGCTTTTGCAGAAGCCAGAAACCACACTGCAATTTCTTCAGAAACTGCATTTTCTAGTTATTTGCAATGTTGCTCATCTTGAGCTGACATAAAGACAAAATGAGGAAAGCAAGACTATAGTAATGTTATGAGAGACGGAAAAGGGTGAAGTACGTGGCCTTAATGATGGAACATTATCATCAGATTGATTTTAATGGCTCTTGTTGAGTTGCAAGACCCATCAGAAGAAACAAAGACAGCTCCTGAAATGGAAATAGAGCTGCAGAGAGAGTGGAGGGAGAGGGGATATTACCACCTGACTGTACTGGAATATTTGATACATGAAAAGTGCAAAACAATCACAGAGAAGACAAAAAATACATTCACACAATTAAATATTGAATGAAAAAAAGACAAAATGTACTTTCATTAATATTTGTGAATCAGATGAATGCAGAAAGGTCAAGTATACATGCTTAACATTCATCTTCGACTCGAACATCAGCAGGAATTTTTATCAAGTAGTCAATAAATTAGTCATTTTGTTTATGTATATTAATTTAGAAACAGATAGAAAAAGTTCAACTGTAAGTGTGTTGAGTGAGTTCAGCTTTTCTGCATAATTGTAACTTTCTTTTTTATATAACAATATCCATTTCAGAAACTCACACAGCCTCATACAGCAGCTGGAAATTTGATATGCCTGCAGAGGATATTATAAGGAATGACAGTTCATAAGAATCATCAACTTGATATATGATACACAAACAATAACCCAATATAATTTTTATAATGCTCTTTTCAGTTGTTTTTATGTTTTCTGCACTGTGAATGTTTCAGATGCTGTGCAAAAAGAAATCAATAAAAGCCTTTTTAAGAATTCACTGTGGTTGTGTATATAATATATATATAATGTTATTGAGAAATTCCATAAACACAGAGGGCTCACATTCGGATCTTTTACACAGTATAAACCTTAATCAAATACATATTTTTTACTATAAAACTATGTATCAGAATGGCTGATCATACTGTTTGTGCAAAAGGAAACACATAACCTTCATATATGAGCAAATTGGAAAAGAAAGCTAGGACAGGATGTTAGAATTGGTTACAGTAAAGGATGTCAATCATGGAATATGGTGACACATATAGATATACATATACATATACATATATAAATGCGCATTTAATAACACATACATATACATGCAGTATTTTCTCAGATCCTGACTTTTAATTAGTTTTCATTTTCTGTTGTACTCTGAGATAATGGGTATTCAGATGTTTTAAATTTTGTCATATTATCATGGACAGTTTCCCCCATGGGTTCTTCGTCACCTCTACAGCAAGTATATTATGAACAGATTATGTAATAAAGCAGTAGAATGTGTAGTGATGCCCTGAGGGCACTCTCTGAAAAGCCTCAGGCTATATTGAATTCAGTGCTTATAGAACAGAGACATAATTGAATTATAGAGCATATAAAGGGCCTTTCTTTGTTATTTATGACAGCATTATTATCATAAACAAGATAATTATTAAAACTGACTTTGACACTGAGCAATTATGCTGTTTGGTGAGCTGGTGAATTTACTGGTAATATTTCATTCAATAACTACGTGGAGGTGAGTGAAAAGTTGGTTTCCCTGCATGTTCAGTGTTTTACATTTTTCTCATATATTACTACCACCTATGATGTGAACATAATGTGCACTATTGCCTATCATCATCTTGTTTTCACACCTTGCATTTCCTCCGCACTTCAATTTATACAATTATATGAATCAGTTAACATTTGCTGCTTTAAAATTCCCTGCAGCACAAAAAGAAAATTGCTTTTGCTGGCTGAAAAACCTGCTACCTCAAAGCAACTCAAACATCACATCTTCTCCTACAAGATGAGGTTCTCCAAAACAAGAAGAAAATGTGGTCGATTTGAACAATATTCTGTTATATAGTTCCAAAAAGTGGACAGTGTGGATATATACTTTTTCATCTTGTTCTGTCCTATTAAGTTTTATCATTGTCGCCTTTTGGCAATATCTCTTACTTTGCCATGTGATATTTGAATTGATTAGGCATCCATAAATCTTCATCTAATCTTCTTTTGTTGTCATTTCTGCAAAATTGAGTGCTCTACTCAATAAAGATATCAATTGAATCAAGCATGTCTGGAAAAGGAATGGAATAAAACATAGACTATGAAATGACTATGAGGGACTGTATCCTAATGCAGGTGGTGCATTGAGCTAGAGATATGAGACACATGTTTTGTTTTATCCAAGTCAAGATTAAGTGAAAAATCAAAAAGGGATATAATAGATGCAGTGTTTTGCTGTTTCCCCTCAACCACATTTCCATGGAAACAAGTAAGGAAGTATCTCCTTCTTAATCACCAAGGGATGACATTATGTTACAAGTTTCCAAAGGGTGTAATTGGAGAGGTGAAAATACTGTATTTATACAACCTTGTTATGTTTCCATTGTATGTCTCTCACTATGATCATTAAAGCTATTAGCATGTATTAACAGTGTCACACTCAGTTATTGTAACCCAAGAGTAACAACAACAATATATTCCTAAGATCAAAAACATTATTGTTTAATGATCACAAGAACCTTTTCCAATGGAAACCATCTGCTTAAATGCTTGCTTTTTCTAACAGAGCTCCTCTCTCATCTTAATCCATATCATCAGCTGTTTTCTTCAAACTTAAACAAATTCAGTTGAATTGTTAAAGTGGCTGCACCATTATTCAAAGAGCTATAAAAGTCACCTCTTACAGAATCTATATTTTCTTTTCTGGACACTAGACAAAGGACACAGAGTAACTGAGACACAGCATCTGCATTTAGATCTATAGCTTAAAGGCATGTCCTACAAAGACATAATTGCCCTTGCATTTAATCCACACACAGGTCAGTCAGTCAAAGCAATCACTTAGTGTCCAAACACACATCCAGCTGAAAGAAATAACCTTGGTGCTGTGTTATTGGAGAAAAGAAGCCTAGCAGATTAGTTGGACTGATGGGACATGGACTGCAGGGTAAGGTGATAAGAACTTAAAAATCAAACTTGGACCTGGGAAGCTAGGCGCCTTCAAAGAAAAACTGTGGCTCCTGCATGACACAGCGATTGTTTCTTTTTTCTTTTTTTTCTTTCTTTTTTTTTTGGGGGGGGGGGGGCAAAGATCACCCACAATGTTATCTTGCCAGTCCACCAGTGCATCAATCAGGACCCAGGCTGCTGGGAATCGACCTCTTTTGCTCCAGAATCAATGCCCTCCCTCATTCTCATTGGTACAGCAGAGATTGTCAGAGATACAGCACAGGAGAGCCCCGTCAAATCCAGCACTATATGTTCTAAATGGTGGAGGCTATTAACTCACTGACACACACTGTCTCTCTCCTTTCTCCTCAGCTCAACCTTTTCTTTATCAGTCTCAAGAGGACTGGACTGAAAGTGTTACAATGGAACAGTTTTTCTATTGTGATGTTAGTGTGGTATGCAAAAATTACCCAAAAATGTCAATATTGCATTGAAATATTGCAGCAGGAATATTTATCACTGTCTGTAACATTGTGCAAAATAGACAGTCCTGTTGATGGAGATCAATTTAGTATACAATGTTAAAAATAAAAATTATCTAAAATTAAAATGCGATTATTTGAATGGTTTATCTATAAAGCAACAAATACAGACCTATAGATTCAGACCCACTATTGTATCAAGTTTAAGTTTTGAGCTACCAATTTCCATTTAATTGTTTTCTATTACCCATATCAATGTAGTTACACCATTTGTTTGCAGAAGGCACAGAAATGTGCACCACTGTTGCTGAGTTACATTCCAAGCTCAAACCACAACTCCCAGAATTCCGTCGTGTAACCTCGCGCTTCTGTCTTCCTGTTTGGGTGCCGCAGCTGGAAAAATGGCAGCTGATACAGGGAGATACAGGAGTGCTGTTAGCAAAAACAAAGACCCTTCTGGTCTTCTCATCTCCGTCATAAGGTGAGGTTTTGTCGCATTCATTAAATACAGTTAACAGCGCTGGAAAGATGTGGGACAGCCCTTGAACTGTGCTTGTATTTGGACTCAGAGACCGATTGACAGCTAGCTTTTAAGCTAAATTAGCTATGTTAGCCACATCCTTCCTGTATTGTTAATTGTATGAAATTAATTAAAGCACACGCATTTAGTATTTTTATTTCCAATATTATATGTCGGCAAATGATATCAGCAGTTTTATTTCTTCCTGAAGCAAAATAAATGTAAAATGTGACTTCGTCACGACGTGTGCCTTTCACAATTTGAAGCTCACTCATTATTCGGCACTGTCAATAAGATAAAATATATATATATATATAGAGTAGAAGTTGTAGTAGTAATCAGTAGCAATTAAAGAACGAAACAACTGGGCTTTTCTTTTGCCCGGTGGACGGTAATGTACTTTTTTTAAAAATATCCAAATGTCTCAATAACCTACCTCAATGATTTTGGAGGTGTCTCTTAGCAACAGTTGCTAAGTTCTATGAAAAGACTTAAGTTTTACTAGTTTGTTATGTCGGAGCACTGTGGCTTATATATGTACAGGGATCGATTTATCACTGAAAAAGTAAAAAAAAAAAAAGATGCATTAGTTAGAGGCACACACTGTAACTACTGTGACTCTTGTAACCAAGTCAGTGACCCTAACGGTCATGATAGCTCAATTTAACTGTCTCCAAGTCTTACCTTCTCTTTTCGAGAGAGGAAAATGTACACAGAGACTAACAAAACTTCACAGTTACAGGATTCTGAAAGTGATGGTAACGAATATCCACCTGTAAGTGCTCCAATGGGTTCTCAGTATGTAATACATGAAATTGTTTCATTTAGGCTATATAATGTAAATAAATGATTACTTTTTTAAACTTGGACGATCAAATGAGCCTCATCTACCAGTACTACTTACACTGCTGCTAGATCCATTTTTTACAGAATGAACGTACCTATTAATGTTGCCATGCAGCCCTATACTGTAGGGATATGTTGGCATCCAAAGTCTTGCACTGTTACTGTCCCCATGTTTTCCCTCTTCTACCTTATACTGCTGTCAAGTGCTTTATCTAAGCTCCCACTTAACTCAAACTCAGCTTGCAATTGCCGTTTCCTGAGGGTCTCTGCACTCCACTCTGATGAGATAACACTGATGCCTCATCCAGATTTCTGATGTGAATTTAGTTAGTAGATTGAATCTTACTTGTCCCTACCCTCTTCCCCTGATACAGGACTCTGTCCAGCAGTGATGATGTGCAGGACAGGGAGACAGAGAAGGGTCGTCTGGAAGAGGCCTTTGAGACATGTGACAGGGATTTAGATGAGCTGATTGTTCAGCATTATGCTGAACTCACCACTGCCATCAGGACTTACCAGAGCATCACAGAGCGCATCACCAGCTCCCGCAACAAGATCAAACAGGTAGGCAACAGATACATGAACCTGAAGGGTTGTGAAAACTATTGCTAGAGTTCATGCCTACATTGTTTCAGATGGATTTCAGAGCAGTTGCTTTAAGATGTGTAATGAAAAACAAAACAGATACGCTTTTTTCTTTCATTTGCATTTGTCTGTTCATTTATTAAAAGGGTCTCTTATCTGAGTTTTCAGGCTTTTTGTTCTCCAAGACTGAAAGACTGACTTAATTAACACAAATCCTGTTCACCCAAGAAGAAAAATGCCAACTTAACAATTGGCAGCTGAAGTCCAGAACCCATAGCCCCCTGGATGTAATTTTCTCAATCACATTTGTTAAAATTATTCAAAATGTTGAGGGCAGCCCCTCATGAACAAACCAATATAGATTTGGCAAAAAAGAAGAGTCAACTTTAAGGCTGTATGCCATATCTGCCATGGATATTTCTTTACAGGGCTTGATTTCAGTAGCCTGTCAATGGCACCCCTTTATTTCCACATCATCTGATAGTAAACTTTAATTTTATGAGATTAAAGTTGGCATGTTCTTGATAATATTAAGAAGTCTGCCTGTGTCTAGTTGTCACACCAAAAATGGATAGATTAATCAAAAGTTATTTTAGAACAGCTAAAATATCTTGTTACATTACTTAGGTTTTTTGTTGTTTCAAGTCAGCGGGTAGTGCAGTCAAAACAACGAATAACAAACTATTTTGAAAGTAACCTAAAATCTCTCAATATTATGACTTGAGCAGTAATAACCGACCTACACTTACTGAGTCATAACAGTTTGTTCCACACTTCCAAAATGCTTTTGTTCTGGGGTAATACCGTTTTTAAAATAGCCCTAGCGGCCAAGCTTGGTATTGTGCCTCACTTGTATGATTTCAATGCACTCTTTCCTGCAGGTGAAGGAGAACCTTCTGTCTTGTAAGATGCTTCTACACTGCAAAAGGGATGAGCTAAGGAAGCTGTGGATAGAAGGCATTGAACACAAACATGTCCTCCAGCTGCTTGATGAAATTGAAAGCATCAAGCAGGTGCCTCAACGGCTAGAGGCCTATATGGCAAGCAAGCACTACCTTCATGCCACGGATATGCTGGTGAGTAGACTGATGGTCAGAGTTGTATGTAAGCATCTTTGTATGTTTTGAGTATGTGTAAGCTGTAGATTATTTCAGTCAGAGAGTGAGAAAAACATAGACTGCATGATACATTTTTTTGGATGTTTTGTCCAGTTTGTTTGGATGGTATGCAAGGTAAAGAAAGTGAGAAATGGAAAAAGGAACAGATTGGTGTTTTGTTGCTGAAGTTGTGGGAAAACCAATTGACAGTGTAAATGCATATGAGGCAATACTGATAGGGTGCTTTGAGACCCATTGTGTGCACAGTACTCATATATAAACAGCAGTGTTTATGAAGTGTTGCTGCTAAGATTGATTTCCTGGTGCCTCTCATCCTTTTAAAGAAGCATTTTCTAGCCTTGAACAGTCCATTGGGTGCAACTCTTTTACTTCAAGCAGACACCATCTAAGTGCAGTGAGGGCGCTGCAGGTGTGTATGTATGCGTGTACTGTTGGTCTTTTGATGTGTGTTTTGCAGTATGCTTGGCAGGGGAGCTGGAGGATGGCATTGAGGACTAAACGACCAGGCTCTGTGATCTCTCTGTTCCTTTCCTTTCCTTCCCTTTCCTCTCTTCCTTCCTCTGTCACTCCCACACATCTTCCTTCAGACTTTGGTAATAATTAGTTTGCTAGAATGGGGTTATCTGAGGAGGAGGAAAAAAGAGGGATGATGGTGCACCCAAAGGACCATGAAAAATCCTTTTGTGGGGGTGGAAAGAAGTGGAACTTCATTCAACCTGTGCTCAGTCAGTTCAGCATGTTTTGAAAGGTTGCGGAAAGTTCAAAGTCAGTTGGACGTTTCGCCTCTGTCTTGCAAACTTCAAATACACTTTACTTGATCAGGATGGTGCATTTTCATTGATACGGAAAAAGCAGACTTTAAAGCACATTTTATGTGCCTTTAACTATCAAAATGATGTTGGATGCATTCGTTCTACTTTTTGCTTTGGTGACATATTTATGCAGTTCATGAATAAGTAATGTGTGAAAAGTCCACTTTGAATAACCTGCACTTAAGCCAAAGTAGAGGATGTTAGTAGAGATTAAAAAATGGACCAATAACATCCTTGAAATAACACATTTGATATATGAATGATTCCACCAACATTTCAACATTTTTTCCAATACTTTTGACATGGAGCAATAAAGGCTACCTGTGAGCTAAAATAATAGCACGCACTGAACTGAAGTGCAGAAAAGCTTTTTAGCGAATTTGATGTATTGTTAGCTCAGCAATTGCCATTTCATTTCATTTATTGCCATTTTTAAACAGGCAAACTAAAAATGACTGCTTGTTTCCAGTGTATATCAACTTTTAAATGTTTATAGAATGTGTATTGGTATTTGAGTGTGAAAAAAAATCTCTCAACACAAATCTAACTTTGACTTGAAACTGGCGAAATAGAATATTACCCCCCACTAACAGAATTTTTCACTAGATTTTTGGAAAAACATGATAATCAGACAGAATGTGATAATTAGATTTATAGAAATCGTGAAAGACCGTGCAGTGTTTCCTAAATTTCTTTGCGGATATATTTTATAGTCTCAGGACAGACTGTGTCTCTGTGCTGTGACATCATACTGTCTGTGTCACTTCTCAGAGAGTTCCCATCATGCTGTCACTCATTATGGCACTCATCTGTCAGATTAACGTCTCGCAGGCTTTAGGCTTTCACATTGCATTTCTTTCTTTCTTTCTTTCTTTCTTTCTTTCTTTCTTTCTTTCTTTCTTTCTTTCTTTCTTTCTTTCTTTCTTTCTTTCTTTTCCATCCTTAACAAAAGTTGTTTTGTGCTTACAGATACATGCAGTATAAATCTTTCTTATAATTTTCGCCTGGTACTGTCGCAGGAGTAGATTAGCCAGGGATAAACTTCGCAGCCTTGTGTTTATGTGAGGTTTATCTCTAAGGGTTGACAATTAGAATTCAGACTATGCTCTCTGTCTGCTATTGAATGGCAGTTTTAAACCCCATGGGTTTGGTTAAAAACAAGACTGGCTTTGGTTTTAGAAAAACTCCTCTCCTCTCCTCTCCTCTCCTCTCCTCTCCTTTTTCCTGTAAGTAACAAAAAACGCAGGTGGATCCACATACAATTGCTATTACCCCTTCTTCTCTTCTCTTCTCTTCTCTTCTCTTCTCTTCTCTTCTCTTCTCTTCTCTTCTCTTCTCCCTTCTTCCCCTATTTGTCCTTCTCTCACAAGCAAATTCACTAGAGACTTCATATCCCTAATCACACTGACAGGCCTGGCCCTCTAATGATGTTAACCAGCCTTCCTCTGTCATCCCAGCCCAATGGTAATGAGATATCTCCCCACACACAGACACATAAGCGTTAAGTGATTTACAGTCATACAATCACACACATATAATCATACACAGACACATCTGAGAAGTGTGTACACGCACAGACACAGAACATGCAAAGCCTTGCAGGCATGCCGAGTTATTCTATTAAGCCAAAGGGGGCTGATCATGCAGCGCATTAGCTCATCTTGTCACTAATGTGGCTCTCATTTGCATCAACACACACTTGACCCATGCCCCCCCCCACCTTCCCCCACTGCTACCCATTCCCTTCTGGCCTGCCCTGGTCATGCAAATATTCTCTACAGCGCTACCATTAGGCCATTAGTTGCCTTGAAATACACACGAAAAAACACATACATGCACATAAATAGACATGTACTGTACAGACTGGCACATTTTATTTAATGGTCATTAATTGTAAACACACCACAACCACTGCTGCTCCTGCTAATGAAAATTGAAAAGGAGGGAGGCAGACTGAGTGAATTTGGAGTAATAAAGAGTGTGACTCAGGAGCGCATGACTAGACTTAAATTCAGTTTTTTGAGTGAAATATATTTTTCAAATATTGTACAAAATAGTGCGTATATTTGTAGGTCAATTGAAAATAAAATGAAATAAAAATATAATAATTTTATAATAAAATTCAATTTAATCAAATTAATGAATAAAATAAATTCATTAACAGTTTATTCAGCTGATTAGAAATATTGCAATGAGTGTCACTCTCTCATTGTAAACATGGCGTGAAGCCTCAGCATTCCTCACTTTCTTGGAGTTGGCGATAGACATAAAGGGAGCGGCATGTACATTTGTCATTAAGTGAAAAATCCTGGGGACTGCCTAACCCATTGAGTAAATGAAGGGGTTAAATAATGTATTGGTTGATATTTATGTGAGCGTCTTTTGTCTGAATAGTGTTTGTTCTGGTTGAAGGAACAAAAACCAGTGGGCCTCTTGTTTTACATTGAAAGTAGAAGCTGTATTTTAAAATCGAATGATGTTGAGCGATTTAATTTCCTGGTGAACTCTCCACTCTCTTTATAGGGTTAGGGGCAATAATTAATATGACCTTATAGAGGTCCACTAGAGTGTTTTTTTCCTGTAGATGATTGGTCTATATGTGTAGTGTGGAGTTTTGGAGTAGTATCCTAATACTTGTGGGTAGAGGCCATTTTTAGCATAAGCAAATATTGGTTGTGTAATTAATTTTTCTTTCACTGTTATGAAGGTTTTATGTAGAATGTACACTGGCCACAAAATGTGTTGCATATATACAGTGGGGTGTCCCTGGTTCAGGTGTCCTTGTCATGTGTTGTCCCCTCTCTAAATTGTTGTCCTCTGTCTTCCTCTGTGGACATGTATTTTGTATGTCATCTCCAGTGTAGGCAAAATATGTAAAAAAAAAAAATAGAATATACCAAAGCAAAACAATATTTACTGATTCAGTTATTTTAAGCGATCTCAGTAAATAGATAGTGGAAACAGGAATGCTTGTTGCAAAAGTTTGACCAGACACAATAAAACTTGCGAAATACAGCTGGGGGTAACCTGTGCTTGGCTGGTGTGTTGTCACATGCAGGTGTCAGCTGTGGAGTCCTTGGAAGGCCCCTTGCTGCAGGTGGAGGGGCTTGGAGATCTGCGGTTGGAGCTCCACAGCAAGAAGCTCAACATCCACCTTGTACTCATTGATGAGCTGCACCGACACCTCTACATCAAGTCCACAAGTCGCCTGGGACATAAGAACAAGGACAAAAATGCTGCTCGCCTTCCAGGGTAAGGGCCGGTTTCTTATACTTCTTGTAATATGTTGTTACCACTTTGGGGGGGCCTCCAGATGTCCTCACAAGAATAGAAATGTGAAAATAGTTCTTCAGTGTCATCACCGGGAGTGTGTTCATTTACTTGATTGTTTATGCTTGAAAAAAATTGTGGTTAGTTCTTTATTATTGCTTCTGTGTTTGTGCAGGAAATTACAGTATTTTGCACAGTAGCATGACTAGTGGTTAAAAACAATCTAACTATAAGGTACTGTAAGGGATAAGGGATTTCCTTTCCTTTCATTTCATTTCTTTTCTTTTTATTTCTTTTTCTTTTATAAACATCCTTATTATCTTCAGCAAAGCTGTAGCTGTTCTTTTATGGGTCCACACAGCAAACATAAAATACTTTTTATTTCATTTCTTTACAGCCTTATCACTAATATAAAATGTGCAAGGTTGAGAGAGACAGAGGATGTGACGTTGCCTGTTATACAACTCCATCTTTTAGTCAGTTTGTTTGGGTCCGAGGTATCAAAAGCTGTTATTGTTTGGCTATTATGTATTCAACAGAAATATAGCCATCAAAGTGCTTTCTTCTTTGAAAAGTTTAGACTTTATAGATGTGCCTTCATTATAAGTTATTTCATTGCTGGGACAACTAAGTGCGACTTGCCAATTATTTACTGTATGGAAACCAAAGCCAATTACTGACAAAAACAATTAGACCTTCTATAACTTGTTGCTCTGCTTCTTTATGTTTGTACTTTGTGCTCTGAGCTCCAGAGAAACAGACAAAAAAACACCCCACATCATTTGCTGTAAAGAGGCAACCAGCATTAATTCACTCATAGGGAATAAAGAGGCATCATGATAGGTGCTACAGTAGGAACATTACACAAACCAAAATGCACACATCATATTTTGGTTTGGTTTTTTTAGGGAAGAAACTATTTTTTAAACCTAGGAGACAATGTCAGAAGCCAATTACTAGTATTAAATAAATAAAATGACAGAATGCAACATCCGTGTTTTCTGTGTGACACCAGTGATGCGTCAAATGATCAAGTAGGTTTTGCAGCCACTAGGAGAATAACTTAAGCCATGCCTCCGTGACCCTAGGGCCGCTCTCTTAGTTTCATGAAGCAGCCGTATAACTTATTGGGGATAATGTGGCACAATGGCTTCAAAAACACTGTTGATGCTGTGTAATACATTCAGCTTAAGTGTTGTTTGCACTTTTACACATGTGTTTATGTGTGTCTGTGTGCGGGTGCAGTAATTATGGTAGCGGTGGGTTGGTGAGGTAGAGTGATTTATTACTGAGGGTCAGCCAGTGACAGGTCCTGGCCTCCCTGTATTGGGTCGCCTCTAACAACAAGCCAGCCTCCATACACCCCACTCACTTAGCAGGCACACTGTGTTTATACCGCCCAACTTAAAGGACCTGGATTGCTTCCACCTCCGGCTTAAGGCTTGATAAATGGCTCATTGGAAAGCAGCACCAATCCCACCCAGAGATGCAAGGCTTTTCGTTATAACAGTAGATTGTTTTTGTTAGGAAAGGGAAGGTAAGTGGGTACGGTTCTGGTAGTGCATACTAAACTTTTGTATGTGTATAAGAAGCTCTTACTCCAGAATTTTTGGAGTTGCTTTCCTCTCATGCAATTGCAATATCATGATTCATATGAGACAGAAAGCATGATATGTAATAACATGATGTGTTTTATTTTATTAATCCCTGAATTTTATTCTCTTCACAGCTCCACTGCCAAAGACACATCTCCAATGCCTGTGTTGGATGTCAGCAGCCTGTCCACCCCACGCAAACTTTTGGATTCATCACAGTTCAGCACACCTGGATCCAGCAGTGGTACGATCTTTGGATCATATTAGATTAGGCTCTAAGAGGCAATAATGGACAAACAATTGGTGGTGGCTTGGTGCAAAGAGGATAATAGTGAAGGAAAAGAGAAGAAAAAGAAATGGAAATTTTAAAAGTGCTTTTTACGAAAAATAATAGATTACATAGTTTGCGCTCCATTAAAATGGCATACATTAGGAGAGCTATAGAGATTAACATATCAACAAAGTAGTGTTGTTGGTCTCTATGGATGACAAAGCGTGTGGATTTCAGCTGGCAATTTTATTTTCACTGTGCTGATATTCTTAGTGATAATGAAGTCATTAGCACCACTCCGGCTTACATCCATTTGCATGTCATTATGCACACACACACACACACACACACACACACACACACACACACACGGACACACACACGTACAATATTACTGAATACACACAAAAATGGCTGATCCAAACTCTTGTACAAAGGTCTGAACACACCACCACACCCTCATTGCACACACACACACACACACACACACACAATCAGCTTTGCACACTGGCATACACCCACATGTCTTTCCTTGCAGTACATGTCATAACATCTTCAACTTTTATCATAGTATACATTTCCCTTGCTATAATTATAATCATCTTGTCCTCCCTATCTGTACCATTAGTCACCCAGCATCTCTGTCATCACAGCAGGGGAACAGCATTCATTACACTCAAACCGGTAACCAGCGCTTTTAACAGGGGCTGATAATGCAGGCTATAGCTGTATTCGGGAATGTATGAATTCTCTCTTGGTTGTTGGGGCGTAGAGTCACCACAGCATTCCTTCCAGGCAGAGCACAGAGGAGCGCAAACAAGAAGATAATGAAAAAAGTTAATCCTGCAATAACTTGGTGTTCCCTTGGTGATTCTGAGTTTTTATATTAAGCCTGGCACTTTTTTCACCACCCACTCTTGGCATTCTAAATTAGTGACTCACCAAGTCGTTTTTAGCTGTTTGGATACCAAGCAGTCATAGACCATACTGTATATGTACCACTCAGCATTCACAGACATAATCGCTTATTGCTACTGCAACCTAGTGACACATTAACAACTTAAGCATGTGACTGGCTCCTGACAAGCAAAGTTACCTGAAAGGTGTGAACATATCTATGCCATCCAGTGGTTGTTTGATTAAACTGTTTTGTGTCTGTCCTTCTTTCTCTATATCAGTCTCTTTCTTTCCCCACTGAAGGCTTCTGTCACCTACAGCTGTCATTTCAATCGTGTATCTTTTACTCCATCTCCTTTATTTACTTGGCTCAGCACATTAGCATCTATGTGTGTGCCATGACCTCAAACACAAACACAAATGTACAAAATGCCACTAATACATACTAAATGTCCATTCAATTCACCCAGGAGCCCTAAAAGTAAAAGCTAAATCACAGTTCCCCCCACATTATGCAAAGAAAACACTGACAATTAGCTACCACCAGGTGGTAAGTGCCTATACACTGTCATGCTAACAACTGTGGTCACGACACAGCAGCCAGCTTCCATCAGTGGCCTAGCTTGCCATTTTGTCTAATAGCATTAGAGTACCTCATTTGTAGCTAGTAATTGTCATAATTATTACACAAGCTACAGTTGGAATGGGAAAAAGAGGAAATACACCCAAAGTCCATTAACTTGCCATAAACATTAACTCTCTTAACGCGCTTTGATGGGGAATTGGGAGGCCCCATCTAATGGAAATTACAGCATCACTCCATGCTGCCACTCTCAATTTAGCTGCTAATATGGCTAAGTCATATGGTGAGAGCATGAGGGGGGAGGATAATAGGATAGGTGCAGGTGTGCATGTTTAAAATAGAATGATGTATATTAATATAGTAAAAACTATCATTTTATTTGTTTTACTGTGTCACATTATTAAAAAGCTGATTGGGTTTGTGCACTGTATATTGGTGTATGTGGGTGTTATGTTCCGGTTTTCCGGTTCTGCAGCGTGCCAAAGAAAACACTGTGCATTTTATGTATGCCATATGAATCTTACCACAATAAGATACTATAGATTTGAAATGTTAGATTGCCGGGTGACATAACTGTTTCCAAAGCCTTTGTGGTTGTGTCTTAAGAGCAAGACGGCTCAAAACACCATGATATGAACAATGATTTTTACATCTGTCCAGTACTGAAATAATTGTATTTGTACGCTTGTAAATATTTTATAAGCACTTACAGTATGTGCTAACCTATCTGTATGTATATATCTTCTTTAGTGCGTGAGCTGCAGCAGGATGCACGGGAGCTGAACCAAACTGACCTCCCTGAAGTGGATCCAGAGGAGAACAGTGCTGAGTTCATGGGCATCCTCATCAAGGTACATATTGTACTGAATATTCCACACTGTTAATTGTGAAATTTAACACTGTTCTGTGCCTGTTATATTCAATAGTCTACTGTGTGTATATATATATATATACATATATATATACGTATTTATGCTTTAAGTAAAATATTTGTATTGTCCTTTTTCTTCAGGCTCTGGCCAAGTTGAAGAAAATCCCAGAGACCATTAAAGCCATAATGGAGCGGCTGGAACCTGAGCTGAAACAGATCGTTAAGAGGTCCACCACTCAGATTGCAGACCATGCTTACCAGAGAGGAGAAAACCTGGCCCAGGAGAGCCAGCCAGGGTAAAGTATGGGGATAGGGAGGTTGAAGAAGACTCTATGTTAAAATATCATGGCTTCCTGAGAGAGGAGAATAATCCCCTGAAGAGTGAGTTGCCATAGATCAGTAAAATAAATGAAGAAAACTGGAGGTTAATGATAAATAGTAAATGAGGATGGAAATACACTAAATAGATGGTCATGGAGAGGAAACTATAATCAGTTCTGTGGGAAGATGAAAGCCATCTTTTTGAAATGATCATATTTGCCTGACAGAAGATAATAAGTGGCACGAGCATTGTTTCCAAAAATGATCAGTGTAAACAGCAGTATGCAGCTACTGCTGTTACCACTGATAAAAGACCTTAATAAAGCTGTCATTTATAATCCCGACATCTATGCAAAAGTGTTTTATTAAAGCTTGTTTGCTGATTCTTCTGTAGGTGTATTCCCATTAGAATCAATCCCCCAGTGTCATTATATAAAAGGTGGCCACGCTTTCCAGTCACTGGTAAAGTTCTGTCTATTAACTTAACATTCACTGATAGGAATTCATCAACCATCCCTGTAGCTTCTTACTAATACTTGACAGCTATTTATAAATACTAATATGGGTTGGATTAGTCACCAGCCATTTTTGGTGTTTCATGCAGTGGGTATTTTAAGTATATTAAGAGTTGACAGTGAAGGCAGTAGAGAACAAGTTTTGAATGCATTCCCTGGGTGTTCATAGTCAGACAGTCAACCAGGTATGAAACACAGTCAAGGCCAGGACTGGAGACGCACCTGCCTCAGACCATGAAAACAGATACTCTGCTGCTTTAAACCTAGACAAGTCATGGTTAAACACACCCATACACACACAAACAATTTCACACCTGCCATAGAGGACTGCTACATTTTAAAAGCAGTCACGTCAGTGCCTGCAGACATACACATACAGTGAGTAGACTTGGGAAGCACAGGTCTCAGTCCACTGATCCTGAACCATTTAAGAGGAACGTCTTGTTTTCTGTCAGGGATGTTCTCTCTGGCCTCGTCTGCCTTCCTTCTCCTGTTGCCTGCTGAATCTCATCTGACCTCAATGTAATAGGCCACCATGTAGCTCATTCCTAGTTCTACTGCTTACAGATTGTTTTAAGTTCGCCTGCGTGTGCGTATGTATGTGAGCGCATAACACTGTATTTGTCTCAGAGCATGCTGAATTGCATTTGAACACTTAGAGGGTTGTCTGTGTGTTTGAATTCAGATGCGTACACACCTAGTTCTGCCTATGTTCACTTCAATTTAAAGTCAAGGTTTGTTGCTATGGAAACTCCAACCAATGTACCACTTGTAGGGAACAATGGTCTTGCATTATTGCACACTATATTTTATAGCACTGCAGACTAGCAGGCAACACTTAAGCACTTTACAGCATATACAGTGGTCTGTGGCTTGCTCTAGGAGGTTTATGTTCTCATTCACATCTTCTGTGATCAGCCACATTGAAAGTGCATTTTCATTCCCAGCTCCTTTCATTAGATCTTACTTTCATAAAGATACTCCACGCAGGTTCCCTCTCCATGCACCAAAGTTATTAGCACGCACCACTGATCTGTGAGTAGTTCAGTTTAATTTACATCAAATCAGACTTCTTGAACTCATATTCCTTTTTCATTTTGCATTACAAAAACAGAGCCTTATTTCTCTTTTCTTTGTTGTTGGTATATAGGCGATTCTGAATCTAATCTGAATCCCTCAGAAAGAGAGCAGATTTAAAGTGAAGAAATGCTTGAATGCCCAAAGAACATTAAAATGAAAGGCTAAGTATTTTAAATCCAATTTAAAAACAAGAAAAACTCATTGATCACAAGACTGATTGCTTGTCTCTCATGTACTGTTTTTTTTCTGCCGGTTCAGTAGAGTGGTCACTGGAAAAGTCTGATTGGCAGATGTGTAAATGTATTTCTACTCTATGTCCATCTGTGTATGACAGCAGGATGACCTGGCACATTTAATACTTCAGCACGCTTCTTTAAACACCCTGTAGACCCCTATTTGTTGTAATTTAATTGTCTGTGACTGGCAACTAACTTAATGATAATCTAATGTGGGCACTACCATCATCGTCCAAAGTGAAACACACACACAGAGATGTACTGTCAGTCTGCTAGTCAGGGAAAGTACGTCCATGTGTGTGCTCCCTGCTGTTTCTCCTAGCTGTTCATCAGCCTTGTGTGCGTCAGCTTCGATCCTGAGGGGAAATGAGAAGTGAGGTCTCAAAGAACAGACGATATGGATTAGGATGGCCTCCACTGGGAGATAATGAGAAGGACTGGGCTGTCTACTTTTTGTATTTGTGTGTCTGTCCATGGGTGTGTGTGTGTGTGTGTGTGTGTGGGAGTGTGGTTGCAATGCACTTAGAGATTGAGCAAAAAGAGAGGTGACAAGGTCAGAGCTGTACATTTTGTGTTTCCACCTCTGTGCAGGTGTACATGATCATACATTGTTTGTCCGTTTCAGAAGGCTGGTGTTCACTTTGTATCCTTTCTGTTGTTGTCCTTCATGTTTTTACATGAGAGAGGGGGAGAGCGAGATTCCCTCACTCGTTGGCATTTCATAGCTCCTCTTTTCGTCTCACGAACATATTCCATTCACTGAGTTATAGCTCATAGTGATTTGTGCCTGCTTTCCTCTCCATTAATAACATTTACTTGCTGCTACTGCCAGTGTAGTGACAGACAGCCAACCAAAATGCCCCCTAGTGAAACATCCATCTTGCCACTATGTTATCCTTATACCTTCCCAGGAAACCTTGGCCGCTTTCCATAACTTTTAGCATGCTTTCTTTTATTGCAGCATTTAAATTGGTGGTAATTTGTATTCATTTGGCATCATTGAGGTATGGGCTCAGGTGCTTTTGAGTATACATAATAGAAGCAGTAGCAGCCTTTCTGGTTTGGAGCCTATATTTTGATCCTAGTTAGTTGTAACAGGTCTTTCTTGAGTCATTTAATGGTAAAGCACCCAGCTTGCCTCAGATTATTTTTCTCAATTAAATCAGCAGAAAAGCTGATCAGGAAGGTGCAGGAAAGATTCTCTTAGATCTGAAGCTAACTGGATAAGACCGATTTCAGGGTAGGGAACATTGACACAGTCTCTGGGCAGGATAAGTTCAAGAAGTTCAGCAATGTCATTTGTACAAGATGTATAATATTCAAGGTTTACACAGCTTGTGTGTTTGGTTGTATAAATCTGTGTCCATTAGGGACTTCAAATTGCCAATATTCTTTAACTTTTAAGCTGTAGTCATCTATAAAATAAACAAAGGTTTCACTTACTACCAATTAAATAAAATCCAAATGAAATGACAGAGGAAGATACTTAAAGGCCAGTGTTAGACAAACACTGACTGTATTTGTATTAACTGTAACATTTCCACTAAAATAAAGTGGGCACTCACTGGCTTAGGTGCACTGGGTACTCATCCAGACTCAACTAATGCAACCTGTGTTCACTCTTCACTTTGAAAGCTTTGTCCTTGTGCAGAAAGCAGCTATAGTAAAGTCTGTATGAAAGCATTAGTGTAGATGAGGCAACTGTGAGTTTCCAATCCACAGTGTAGCACTCGGATCAAGTGGAAGGTCAGTTTGGTTTTGGCTGCGCTCTCTTCTTCAGCCAGAGCCATTTACAGCTAATGAGAGTAGCTCCTCGTTTGAGTCCAGGTTGGTCACCTCACTACTTTCACACTATCCAGTCCAGGTGCTGGGTTGTAACTGCAGGTAAAATATCTGTAAGTATCCGCTGAACTGTGAAAGAAAAGAAGGAACTGTAATACCTACTTGGTAATGTGAAATGCACTCAGTAATGTAGGTAAATAGGAATCATATCATCATTTAAAAGATTGCAGCTGTGCACATATACATACATATACATAGTAGCCATGAAGAGGTAATGGGACATTTAAGGCCAAGCAGAGGCTGAGATACTCAATAATCTCCTCACCTGGAAATTACTGTATACTGTGCTTTGATTTCAACTCCAGGACTGTGTTGTCATAGAATCGTGTTAGAAAAAAGGCTATGTGGATACATTAGATTATCAAAGGCATCAGTATTTCTCAACTGTTTTAATGGATACTGTGAAATTGGATATAAGGCAAACCTGAAGGAGGTTGCGGAGACTTTGTAACTAGTTTGCTGCCTGGATCCAGAAATATCACCACATCCTTCCATCTAATTTTCAAACAGAAGCTGAGTTCCTTGGTGGCTCAAGGCTAGTTGATTTCCTTTATTAATAAAGTGTTGACTGAATGTAGTACTGGTTGTGTGAGAAAATGTATACAATCTTTTAAATATTTCCATGTCTCATTTCTCATAATTTGTATTGATCTCCCTCCTTTTCCCTCTCTTCTCCACATCTTTACCCTCATGTTTCTCATTTTCTCCCTCCCTTTCTGCTCCCTCTGGCTCCCTCTGCAGGCTGCTACTGGAACTGTTGGAGCTTTTGTTTGATAAATTCAAGGCAGTGGCTCAGGCTCACAGTGTGGTGCTGGCCCACCTGCAGCAGATTGCGGTGCAGTGCCCGGGCGGGGCCCATGAAGAGGGCATCAAGCTCTATGAACAGGCGGACGTCTCTGCCAAAATCCAGACTGTCTTGCAGGTCAGTTTTGAACTAAAATGATAAATAAAATGTCTATAGACTATTGATGTACGCTATGTACAGTCACCTGTACGCACATGAAAAGCAGGGCACAAAAAAGAAATATTAAAACCTTAGAGATGAAATGAAAATGAAATGAAAAACATTAACACCCATTCATATTAAATGGGAATCAAGTGTTGGTAATCTGTGTGGGGAAACTGGATAACACAAAGCAGGGTTTGCCATGTCTTTCAGTCCAGTAGATTATAATGTATCGCTCTGTGAGCAAAAACACATGGACTTCTTGTTCTTTTCCCGTCTTCATTATGTTTACCATTGCTACTAATTATATGGAACCATATTGTAGCATTGCACCTGGTGACAAGATGTTTTCATGGTGAACTCAGGGTTGTTTGTTTTGTCCTCCCTCGCAGGCATACCCCCAGGCTTTTATTTTTCATTCACTGCCATCGAGATTTGTTCCTCCTTGATTTATCTTCCACCCTTTTCTTAAACACTGATTTAATTCACCTTCTCTTACAGTAGATTAATCAGGAGAGAAACTGGCAGCGATGTGATGGATGGCAGTCAATCTGTCGAAGCAAGAAGTAGCAAGGGAAAAAGACAGGGGAAGCTTGATTGCTTGGATTAATTTTAGGTTCTTTAATTGGCGTGTATTTATGCTGGGTTCTTGCTCCCTGCTCCTGTTTGATTGGCGGAGGGGATGAGCAGCTGTTGAGCTGACCTATGGTGAATCTCAGAGGAAAATCTGTGGCAGTCGTTGCTCTCAAAGCAATCGGTGTGTGTGTGTCTGTGCCTCTGTCTGTGTTCATACCCAAGAAAACTAGAATTTTCCCTGATGCTCTTTCACTGGGGGTTGTGTAATTTATATTTATGTCATTTTTCTGAAGCATGCCTGATGTGTATAACTACACTTTAACTTGCTTGAAAGCCTGATTTTGTTAAAGAGGTTGAGGGTCGTCTTACTTAATTTTAGAATTTTCCCCTTGCCTCCATGACTTAGAGTACAGTATATAAAAATATAAGATACATTAGAACTTAACTTTTTAGGGCAGTAAATTACTGCAGGAAACAACATCTCTTAGGGCAAACTTGATCGTTTTTTTGCTGTCTCGTTTTGTTCAGCACACATTCGTGTTTTTACAGATGATAAACATGTAAAAAAAAAAAAAAGAAAGCAGAATGCTGTTGCCCAGTTAAATTGAAAGCCTATCTATTTCTAGCTCAGGCACTACGGCTTCTCCTCTTCCACTAACTAGTTTTTTCTCAGCTGCCATGCTTGTATACATAAATACAGGAGGGTTTAGGTGTATGTGTGTGTGTTTCTGAGGGTGTGATTGTGCATAGGCATGTACTGTAATAGCTCTGCTGTACCAGTGGCATTAAGCCATTCCCAGGCATGTTACCACTGCCAGCACCCAGTTGCCAGGGACTCCACTCTCCCTCGTCTCTGCGATGTGAGATAATGTAATCTCTTGATTAGAATACTCATTACGTGAAATGAGGTTTTCTTATTCACTCACTCGTGTTATTATTTCCTGACCGATTATATCAATATGAAGGCCCCTCGTCCATCCCTCCCTCCCCCCCTGCCATCTCTCTCATGTCTCTTGCTTGTTGTTTTTTCGTTGTTCTCTCCCTCTCTGCATTTCCATTTCCCTTGCTCCTTCCTACCTTCTTCAGCATCATTCCTGCTGCCTCTGTATTACAGTCTCTCATTGTCCAAATACCTTGTGCATACCCTTCTTACTCCTTGTAATTTCCTTCTTAATCTTATTATCTTGCTTTCTTTTTTTCTCTCAACTCCCACACTCCCTTTCACCCCCTTCATTTAGCCCTCTCTGTCTTAGAGAGTCACATATCAGCATTGAGAGAAATTAAATTCCTACTGCTCCCACAGTGGCTCTGTTGAATATTATTGGATGCTGAGGCAGGTCTTATCTCACGTTTTAACACCCACAAAGGGGCAGGAACCTACTCAGCATTGGTCAGAATTTGGTTATGATCTTCGTTAGTCCCTCATCTTGTTTCTCTCTTGGGTTTATTTTTCTTCAGTTCTACAGTAACTACAGCATCTTGTCTTTGTTTTCAGTTTTAATTTTCAAAACAATAGCTCTCTATTGCCTGAAAAATATGCAATTTTCAAGTTATACTTCCAAAAAGCTTGAACAGAAGAACTGTCTACCACAACGTTAGACTAATTTGGGCATTCAGTTTAGACAGAGGCAAGTCATTTTTTTGTAGCAATTGCTGTGTGTCCAGGAAGTCATTTAATTCTCTTTGAGACTGTTGAAACATGTTAAAATGTCTCCCTACCTTTTTGCCAATTACTAGAAAGACTTCTTTTTAGTGTCTTTTTTCCCCCTTTACAGTTAAATCATTTGAATCCCTGCCTGTCTTACTTATTGCACTTCACATTTTTGACATGCACTGAAACCTCTAGGTAGGTGTTATTTTTTTCCCCACTTTGAGCGGTGGAGAAACCAGGTTGACCTTTCCACATGACATACCAGCAGACAGATGCAAGAGTCGACAGAAACTCAGGGTGCACCCAGTTACAAGGCCTCGGTTGAGAAACTGCGTTCATCAATGTGTGACTGAGTGAATGGGAGTAGGTAAACAAGCTTTTAAAAGTCAGGATTCATGTATTGGTTCTAATCCCTGTTCCGAAATGCTGGTGATGCTCCTGCATGTTGTTTATTTCATTGCAGAAGTATTGATTCAAGGCATAAAAGACTGAATGGTAATCAGTGGTATTGATGCAGGATGGAGGTGTTTTAATGCCACTTCAGAATTTTTCCAGTGGCTTTCTGTAGAATGTGTGAACATATCTATTGCTTATTCACACCATTATTGAATTTACATTTCCAAGTGTGCACCACAGCATTCCTTCACTACTTTATATCTGTGACTGCCTTTCTACCCTTTTCCATCAGAAACTATCTTGTTCTTCAAAGCAATCTGTTTTTTCTAGGAAATCAGAGTGACTTGAATTTGTGTGTGTCCATAAATGTTTAATGTGCCTCTCTTCCTCTTCAGAAAATACAGTATAGCACCATCACACAATTAAGACAGCCTGACAGCCTGGCAAGTTTAATGCGATGTTCTCTGAGTTAAAATGTTAGTCTAAACAACATTATGTGCCAAGCGAGAATATCCACAAGTTTCCTTTGAATCATTAATAAGATAGAAGTCACAATACTTTACCAGGTAATTGGGTAACGTAGTTCATAAAAGATCACAGTTCATAAACCTTTCCATGCGTTCTTCATTAAGACCGCCGAGTGGGAGTATTATTTAATGTATATTTGTGCCTCTGGTTACTGACGTCCATCACCCTTTGACCTTGTCGGCTGTTTGGTATGAGGCGTATGAGTTTGTTAATTAGCTCGCCATTTGCACATTCTGCATGGATTTGTGGCTGGGTGACTGCTTGCCATGTCCGTTGTCTTCTGCAAGTGTGTGACTAGAGTGCAAATCACACTTTTAATGAGTGACTTCCTTTCTGCAGACAAGGAACTCTGAGCCGGCATTCAAAAATATGGATGGATGTTTATTATCTGCCTTCTGAAAAACTGATTTCTAGATCATAGATACTTGAACAACCATTTCTAACAGAATCTTCTAATACTCTTTTCCTGTTTTTGTGTGTTCCCGATCACATGCCTGCCACCCGCTCTTTTTTGATTCATAAGAGAGCCTATATCTTAGTCTAAATCTGCTTCATTTTATTGCTGTAGATTAACCAAGACAAAGGGGATGTTATGTTTGTGCCAAAGATATTTAAATATACAAGTGGCTTAAATATGCACCGGCTTCTCTGAGCTCATCAACAGAGTGAAAACAAGGCGAATTGAACTGCCAGAGAGTAGCCAGAAGACAATGATCTCTTTTAATTAGATATGAAGCACAGACATAGCTACGTTGTTCTCGCCCAACATTTTAATCAATGTGTCACATTTATTCTGCCCTCCAAAGCGCTGTCATATTTACATATCGCTGGAGCGCATTGAAGTCTACCATCTCCTTGGTGTCGCATAGTCTCATCTCTCTCAGCCCCCACCCCCACCCCCACCACCACCACCACCATCACCTTACATCTGCTACATCCAAATCACCAGACTTAATCAAATGCTGATGCATATTTCTGCAATAGTTTCCTTGACGTGTTGATACATTATATGACTTTGCAAATGAGGACACAGTATTTGGTCCTGTGCTGTAAATGCTATTGTGACTTAAACTTTAAATGAAACCTCAGTTGAGGTTAGTGCAGTTGTCCAACTTGGAAGATCATCAGCTCGTATAGTTTGGGGATATTATAATGCAGCTGCACAGGTGTTTTTTTTATGTGCACAGCATATGTACAATATTAAATCAGAGAATTCAGTGTTCCTTTATGAACTGTATTCTCACATACTCATAATCCTGGAGACAAGGTGCTGCTGTGATGGCAATTAAAGTAAAACCAAAAGGTTCATGTGTCACTAAATACCATGCTTAACTTTGTTTACTGTATAGCTAAAATGAAAAGAAATCAGTAGGTGCAGACCACTCATTATAGTTAGTCATTATAGTGAGCAATAACAGAGAAAATTGAATTTAAAATGTTACCATAATGCTAAAGTTCACCCATAATTTAAACCACTTATGGTGAATAGGAATGCTGTCAGTGCTCTATATTTAGATATATTTAATATGTTTTGTCCTCTCTTTTGCTATTTGGTCAAATTATACAGTAATGTGCTAATTTGACTATCAGAAATAAAGATAAGGACATGTTTTTACAGCGTTGTATCCATAGAAACTCCATTCTATTCTGCTTTCTTTTTTATTTGAAACAACAATAAATAAATGCTGGGGACACAGCAAGGACACACAGAGAAATAAAATGGGTTTGAGTGAACACACAGGCACATCTTCCTTTCCTCCGTCAACAAGATAGCCTTCAGAAGATTGACTTGATGCGGCCCGCTCCAGGTGGGAACCCCCACTGG